AAGACAAGAATCGGATACCAGAACAAATGTGCGATTACAACTTGGCAATGTAATTGAAAGAGGAGAAGACATCTAATAACAACAATTATGTAAACTTAATAAATCAGTTGCTTCAATTGGACTATCCATAGCCAAAAGATAAGAATGGAATTTAATGCCTAATGCGATTTCTTTCTTTTTTTTTTTTTTTTTTTTTAACTTTCAGTTCCAAAAGAATAAACACACTGCCAACGAGAGCGAAGAGAAACGTTGAGAGCGTGAGTGAGGTGAGGTGTTTTGTGGTGGGAATGAAAGTTGTGGGACGAGTTGTGCCGTTGAAAGGTTAGAGATCAAGATGCCGTGCCACGTTGGATTGTGAATGTGTGTGTGAGAGTTGCCGTAGACCACCCTTTTCTCTCTTCTTTTTGTCTATAATAATATTATTTTATTTCAGTTTAATTTAAAATAAAATCTAGCTTGTTATATGTTTTGTCACCTAACACACATGCATTTGAAGAGTCGGTAGCCAATAACCATATTAACATTATATTAAGATAATATATACAGTAATATGACCTTGTTGAGTAATTTCCTCGGTTGTGATTTATGAATTGAAATATCAATCAAAATATGTATATTTAATTATTTGTAAGAAACAAAATAGGTGAACTCAGATAATTTAGAAGAAGACAAAAATGTCATTTTGAAAGAGGTCATATCTGGTGATGTAATGCTATCGGTTATATGATGGAAATTAAAAAGTTTTTGAGTCCGGAAAAAGAGATAAAAAGTGGATAAAGTTGCGCTTGCGACAGAATAATGCGAGTATCAAGACGTAATTCACTAGAATTTCCTTCCTTTTTTCCCAACGCTATATGAGTCTAGTGACACTGTAATGACCCCAAAGTAAGTACTAAGGTGCACCATTTAGTTTACTTTTTTGATGATAATTTTCAAGACAATTCGCTTTTAATTCGGGACTTATTTGTTGGAATGCTGGCTCGGACAATCACAATCACAATCAATTCCTTTCAATCGCAAATTTCGCTGGGAATAAGATTTGTGTAGAATCTTTATAAAATAGTGGCCTAATTAATGTCTTTTTTTGGTAAGGCGTAACAAATGCGAAAGATTTGAGTATTATCTTGTTCCCATAGGTAAGTAATTAATTAAGGAGACGAATAAAGATAGGGAATAATGCAAAAGCCATCTGCTCCACTGCCTTTGGTTGTCGGATGCTACGATTCCACTGTTTTGATTATTTAATTTGTTGGATATATTATTGATGTTTAATTATGTAATTCTTTGGACTTTGTTGCAAATGATTAAATGAATCCACCCCCAATTATCGCCCTGCCTGCTGAAGGAAAAGCGAATATAATAGACTCTTAGAAAGTGTCATGTAATCATGCCATCACTTAATCAGAAGAATAAAGATGCAGAACAATGTGCAGAGCATTTGTTCCATTGCACGTTGGGAATTGGGGGTCCATTTGGATGGATCAATTGTTCTACTTGCTTTAGTCTAAGTTTTAAAATTCAGAACTCTGGATAGAAATAGCAAACATTGAATATTCGTTAAAACTGGGATCCAACGTAATTTATGCTGCGATTGATTTGACAATCTCATATTGTCTTATAGGATGAGAGATAAGTGAAACAATCTATCCAATCATTTGTACATGGACCTTTGATTTTATATGTATTATATTATTCTATATTTATATACAGTGTTTGCAACTAAAGGAGGCACCTAATTTTTTAAATTTGATACGGTGGGGTAGGTAATTGGTGATCATGGTGGGTTTATGGGCTAGTTGAGGGAAATGATGGGTCTGAGTCTGAAGTGGTGAGAACTAAAGATCTCTTACACTGTACGCGAACAAGGGAAAAAAATAGATCTTTTGGGAAAGGCTCTTGGTTAGTGTTTTAGAATAGCATTTTATACTGAATAATATTTTGGGAAAATAAAATAAGATTCTGAGAAGTTTTTAGAACATTTTTAGAAAATATTTAAGGGTTCGTTTGGTTTGTTATTTTAAATAGGATTTTGAAAATAGTATTAGTTAGTTGAGTATGGTGATTATTACAAAGTAAAATTTAAAAATTAACAAAAAAAACTCCTTAGGTTTGCTAATTTAACTAAATACACCAATATATAAAAATTTTATAAAATAACAAAAACACCCCCACCCACCCACAGTGCCAGATTCCAGCCACCACCGACGAGATTGGGAATAGGATAGGAAATAAAGAACCAAACTAATAGCCTCCTATGTTTGTTAATTTAACTAAACATCTCCAATAATAAAAGTTTATAAATTGACAAAAACACTCTCATTCACTCACATATTGTCGGCAGTCGGCCATCACTGCAGGAAGGTGACCGAAATCTGTCGGAATGGCACACGATCAATTGGATCTAGTCGATTGTGCGACCAGATCTACGGCCACAGATCTGGTTGTCGTTGACGACTATATCTTGGTCATCGTCAACAGCCATATTTGGCTAGACCCAGCCGTAGATATGTTTGTTGCTAGAAACATATAGATCAGCGCACGACCGGCCAGATCGAGTTGATCATGCGTCGTTACGGTGTCGGTGAATGTTGGCAGGTGATAGCAGCTTGGGTGAGTTGAGGTGTTTTTGTTAATTTTAAAATTTTTATTAAGAAAGATAATTGTCAATGTTTTAAGTTGAATGGAATAGAATTAGATTTTGAAGAATATTCAAATAAATGTATTTTTGGTTTTTTAGAATAAGATAATGGGAAATAGTGCCAAACGCAGGGGAGATTCGTAAGGGCTTGGAATAAATGTAGAGATGGCAATGGGCCCGACATTTTCGGGTACCCGGCCCGGCCCGGCCCGAAAGGGAAGGGCTTTACCCGAGGTTGGCGGGCTTGGGCTTGGACCTGGGCTTGATTTTAAGGCCCGACCTCGGGTACGGGCCGGGCATGGGTATATCTTTAGGCCCAGCCCGGCCCGGCCCGAAAATTTTAGTATTAATTTTACTAATTTACCCTTATACTATATATTTAATTACAATATTATCTTCTATATATATATATATATATATATATCCATTTTTCCCAAACCCTAACCTCAATTTTCATCCCATATTAAATGTTTAACATGTTAAAATTGCCTTTAAATTAGTTAGATGGGTTTGGTTCAACTTATTAAAGTGGATTTCACCATAACATATTATGCACAGCTGAAAAGTTAGTATAATAAAATATTATAGAGTTTTAATTGCTCACTTATTGCTTAAATTATTTGCGGAAATAGCTTCAATTAATATTTAAAAACCATTTCTAAAATTAAAAATATAAAAAAAAATTGAAATTTATTAATATTTAAAAATAAAAATTATTAAAAAAGGCGGGCCTGGGCCGGGCCTGCTGTTATTAAAAACCCGTCGAGCCGGGCTTGGGTTTTGCCTATCATACCCGTAGCGGGCTCGGGTCAGGCTTGGGCCTGTGTCATGAGGTCGGGGCTTGGGCCTGGGCCAAGGGGTACCCGGTCCCGGCCCGGCCCATTGCCATCACTAAATAAATGGTGGGTTTTCAGGATGCATGTTTTTTTAATTTTTACTTGTAATTATTAATTGTTATTTATAAGTGTTTTGTGAATTAATTTAACTAAAGTCTGTTCAATGTTTATTCTTCATTGAAATGGCGATTGCGGCGCCCTTGTGGTTTTTCTACCTCATCAAAGACGCTTGGAGTTGGAGAACAGATCATTTAAGCCAAGCGGGATATGTTTCGAAGGACATTTAAGATGAAATGTTATAATATTGTTTAGTTAAATAGAGTTGGATGGTTATTAGAAGGTAGGATTTGAAAATTAAAAATAGTTGGATAATTTAGTATATTATTTTGATAATAGGAAAACAAATATAAATTTTGATTTGGTATAGGAATAGAATAGGGAAACAAACGCCTTTGTTTAGTTATTTAAAATAGTATTTTATTATTATTAGATAGAGTTGGGTGGTTATTAAGAGATATGATTTAAAAATTAAAAATAGTTTCTGTTTGGTACACTCTTTAAAATACTATTCTGGTTTTTCCAATAAAGTTGAAAAGAAAATTGGTATTTAGTTCTTTTATTCTCAAAATATTATTCAATTTCTTTTAAACCCCCTAAATTTGTTAATTTAATTAAACATCTAAAAAAAAATTTAAATTGACCAAAACACCACAGCAACCCCACATTTACCAGATTCCGCCCACCACCGTCGAAAGTTAGTTGGAATCTGATATAATGGCGCACTACTTGTTGAATCTGGCTGGTAGTGCACCGATCTAGCCTTTTTCGGCCAAATCTATGGCCAAAGATTTGGCTATCATCTTTGGCCGTAGCCAATCATCAACGACGACCAAATCTTTAACTATCGTTGACGATCAAATGCGACCAGATCTAGTCGTCAATGACCAGATCTAGCCGTAGATCTTGTCACCGTAGATCTGGTCAGAAAATGCCATATCGACGTCGATACAGCGACTCCGATGGTGGCGATTGGTTGTTCGTATTTAATGGGTGGGTTGAGGGTGTTTTTGTTAATTTTTAATATTTTATTATAACAGTGTTTAGTAAATAAACAAATATAAAATATATTTTTGTTAATTTTTAAATTCTATATCGTAATACTTATCCAATTTTATTTTTTTAAAACTATTATTCTAAAATATATCATAATAATCAACCAAACGACCAAACGGGTTGGAATAATTTACGATATGATTTTGAAAATAGAAAAATAAATATTGATTTTGATTTAAAATACTAATATAGGATTGGGAAACAAACAGACCTATCTCAAGCCCGGCAGTTACGCTCCATCATGGCACCGGTAGTTACGCTCCTTATCTCAAGCCCTCCCGCCACTCTCTCTTCCCTCTTATCATTCCGTCCAAAACCACCATTTTTAGATGCACCCAAACATCAAAACCAACAACTTCTAAATCATGGAGTTAAGTTCCGCCGTAGAGATTGTGCTTTGCTCTCATTTCTCAGTCTCATGCCTTCTCTCTCACATCCTGACCCAGCCAATGCTTTCTCCATTGGAATTTGTACGGAATACTATTCCTTGCACACATCACTTTCGTTGATTAATCACCATTGAAAAACCTGATTGATTGTTTTCTACGCAGCAGGACCAAAGGATTGGCTTAAAGAACAAAAGAAGAAGTCCTCCAAGTTTCTTTTGGCCCCAATCGATGCCTCACGACAAATCCTAAACTCCGCCTATCTATCACTCAGTAAAATTCACTCTCTTCTTTCTACTTTTCTTGTTTACCTTTTTAATGAATTCAATTAGTTGGTTTTGAATAGCGGCTAGAGAATCTGATTATACGGAGAAAGAATTAGAGGAGGTTCAAACGATGTTGAAATCTGCAGCTAGAGATTGCATTCCTCAAGAGAGAAACTCCTTTGTTGCATTTCAAGCCAATACAGGCGTAGAGGTTTGGTTTTTTACTCTCATTTTTTAAATGATTAAGGCTTTGTTTTAAACTAGCTTAATCAATGCATATTCTTCTAATTAATTACATAACCATGAAAATCATGATTATTTTGTTTTGGTTGATGTAATTAACAGGTTTGCACATTCCGTTTGATAGTGAAAAATGCTGCGTCGTTGCTTGATAATAAGGATCCCAAAAAATTGGAAGCTGAAGCTATATTAAATGATCTTATAAGGTAGTCGTTGTGCATATGCCATACAGAACATCTCTGTCCGTGGATTAAATTGAGATTGCTTACTTGATCTTGCACCAGTTGGACCCAATTGGTTTACCCTTTTGCCCATTTTCTATTTGCTATGTAGTGATGACTAATATATTAACAGTGTATTTTCTTTTTCTTTTTTCCCTATATGCTTCTGATGCTGCAGATCTTTTACTTTGCTCAACGGTGTGGCTGGTGATGCTGATATCCAACTCCCTTCGACAAGAAGGTATGTCTTCTATGTCACGCTTACAGATGTGGGAGAAAGCTTTCACCTTTGGTTTTCTATTTTTTTCTTGGAAACGTTTGTCTGTTGTTTATAGGAATTTTGAAACATACCACTTTGGTCTTAATTTTAGTGGTTCTCTCCTGGCAATAATGTGAGCCTTGTTTCAAATAAATATTGCATGACATCATGAAAATCTTAATTTGCCTAAAGTGAAGCTATAAAGAAAAAGAGTAATAAAACTTGTTTCTTGTAGCTGCTTCACTGTAACTAAATTTACATCTCAACTATCGTTTATCAATTAAAAGGAAAAAGAAATAATGGTACATTTATCTTCTTTGCTTTTCTTTCCTTCTATAATTATTGTAAAATTTTAATGCAGACAGAAGTTGGCGGATGCTCTCGTGGATACTGTAGCTTCCCTTGACAAATTTGAGCAGGGCATTAAGGACTGCCTTGAAATTTAGCCGTTCTGGTTTTCTCCCGCAGTTAAAACCTATGTTGTGTATTCTGTTCAAGATTTTGCAATGCTTTTGTTTTGCTGGAGTTGGCTTTACCCTTCTAGGTACTGCAACTATGGAAGTTTATCTATTTCCGCTTGCTCTTTGATGTGTCCACTTTTTGTTTTCCTTTCCATTTTATGCCTTTTCTCTTGTTTTATGTTCTCCATCCTTTGGTTTATAAACTGCAAGCTACTGTAATATTATTGCGGAAAAGAAGATAGTTTGCATTAAGTTTTCCGAAATGCTACTCGCTCAATAAATAATATTAGTTTGTAAAGCGCTCTCTCTCCTTTTCCTCTAAAAGCCCAAGGATAAATGTTACTTCATAATGTTATATAGATTTATTATACTTCTGAAGAAGTTATTGTGCCAATCTTATTTTCCGAAAATAGAGCTACACAATCTTACTCAAATTTTACTGAAGACAGAAGTTGGCGAACGCTCTCATGTGGCTTAGGACAAGAGTAAACAACGCATAGTATGTAGCATATTATCACACAACTCAAATGCTGTGCTATGGCATGGTTATGTGTAAACATTTTTCTGTTCCTTAGAACAAGCTACAAACAATGATATTACATCTACTGCTATAATTGAGAGTTTATTTCTAGGTTCTACATTATATTACATGGCTTACAGAGTTGTTTGAATTGGAGAACCAGAAGCCTGCACCAAATACAAGCGACGACAGGGTGTTCCATCATCTGGATTGGTTTCTACAGACCTGGGCAAGCTGCGGAGCTTGTTGAACAGGTTTAATGGATCATCCATGAGCCCAAAATGAGCATCTGGATCACCAATTTGTGAAAGCTTAACATGAGAAAATCCTAGAGATGGTAGGAGCTGATCAGGCCAATCGCTGTAGAAATGGAAGACAGAATTGCATAGTGTGGTTGACGGTTTATTCATGAAGTCTGCTAATAAAACAGTGTGGACAAGGGTGCACTTGTCAGCTATGATCTTCAACACTTGCATGGCATCGGTCTGGGTAAGGTAGTAGATAATACCTTCTAGAACCCACACTGTATTCTTCTCTGGCTTAAACCCTGATATCTGAAGCTTTTCAAGCCAGTCATTTTCTCTGATGTCAGCTGCTACTCTGGTTAGAGATTTTGCTGTCATCCTTAGCTGCTGTTGTTCGTCTTTGGAATCTATCGCTTCTTGTATGAGAGTGGTTTTCATTTTCAAGACTTCTGGAAAATCTACTTCAAAGATGTCACTTTCCTTCAAGCAGCCTAAACGATATGCCCTTGTGTCCATTCCTGTAAATAGTAAATGTAATGAACATTTAATTGATCATAAAAACGATTCTTCTGTTTTTTAAATCAGGGGCATGTTTTTCCTTTTTGAACCCCAATATACCATACCTCTAGGGTGCAAGCTATCCACCCAAATCATTTAATGGCCATCTATTTACACATATAATTATTCCTTAGAGCTTAGATTATACAAGTCATGGTTCATAATTTACTATAATTATCAAAATATCCATTTTTCTGTGGTGTCTCTGCATCATTCAGTATGAGCATTTGTTTTATTACAGTTGTGCCGTCTGGACCGGTACCGGGAAAACTTCAGATTCCGGTCCGGAGAACTATGAATTTTGGTCATAACTCATAATCAAGGGAATTGGGCGGGGCCGGCAACTTAAGAAAAAGCGGTGTACCTGAAGCATATGCCAGTGCCAGACATTATCGAATATGGTTTCTAGTAATTACATCTATTAGTATTAGGTCCAAAACATGAAGATGAATAAGCTGCATTCCTTCTAGTATTCTTATTATAAAACATGTCAAAATGGGAGTAGAGTGATCACAAACCTGCACCGAGGAGAACAACCTGGGCGGTCTTGTCAGTGAAAGAACTGACAGCAGCTTCAATTTGTGAATCAAACCACAGGGTTCGAACAGCAAGAATTACGCCTGAAATTTCTCTGGCATTATTGAGGTTGTCTTTCTTTATCTTCTCATGAGTGTTTCTTAGATAAGTCTCTCCTGCAAGCAAATCTGCAAGTGGGTCGTGGATCAAATGCTTCCACAAGGCTCTTCCTGCTGCCGTTTGGCATGCTGATCGTCGGAGGGAGTCCCATTCATTATCAACTGTAGCATGGATTTCTCGAACCGTATCAGTAAATAGCAACTGCGGGAGCTTTAGCTCATGCCATTGTGGATTTTCAGGCAGTCCATTTTCGTGTTCTGACATATCTTTTTACATAAAAAAAATATATATATATCAGGAGTGATAGAAGGGAATAGGGAGATAATGCATGCAATAAATAATAGAAAATATTTTATGAAAGAAATAAGAATTGTAGTTAGGGATGGATAAGAAAAGAGAGCCACACATAACCAACGTTAGAGAAAACTTTCAATATCGTATCCAGCTTCTCTGCCTTAATGAAAAGTTATGTTACAGAATAGTCCACGAGTATCAAATGTTTCTTATGCCCGTAACCTGTCCATTATGAATTTTAAAAAAAGTAACAATGAATGGTTCCCACCAGAGAAGAGTCATTACAGGATGTATGCGCGTGGCTACCAAGTTACATCTTATAACAAGCCAAACCACTCTACCATTAATTGCTTAACGACGTACTAGTCTTTCGCTTGCTATTGGCAAGTTGACTTGACTGCTGTCCACACCACTCCTAGTACATGGCAGCTAGTGGCTGGCGCCAGGCTATTTCAATGGCCGGGTAGTTCCATTTGGCATTTAGGCAATTGAGTGGTGTTAAATTTACATAAGCAGCTGCTCTGATCGTTACCTTGTTTTTGGAATTTTATAATTTTTTTTTCCATATTTATTATAAAAATATACGTAATATGTAGTAATAAAATGTTAGAAAAAAAATAACTCCAAGAGATTGATCTGACAGTAAAAGAGGTTTGTTCAATCCCTTGAATTTTTAGGTTCAAATTTTAAGATTATCTATTATAATGTTAATAATATTATAACTTATAATTGGGGCTACCTTGATTTATCTTGTAAGATATTTAATATATCTTAAAGATTGATTAAAATATGCACAAATTGATAAGTTTAATTAAAAAAAATTAGCAAAAAATTTAAAAAAAAATTGCTACCCTTACTGTTGATTGTTGACCTTATAATTATTTGTTGCGAAGTTACTAAATGCTAATTTAGTAGAAGCTGTTATTACCTAGGACTGGTGGCAGAAGCGACAAATAGTAATCAATACCAGTAATTGTAAGAATAAGAAAAGATATGGCATAGTTTCTCTTGATAATTAATTTGGTATTGAAAAGCCAGCTATATGCGGAGATTTTTTCTCTGAAAGTGAGACTGGAGCCGTCAGGTAATTGAAATTCAATTACAAATGAAGTTGCTTCAAAGTCCACAGTCCTACATTACTGCTACTGTGCTACATGCATCGTTCTGAACCGACTGGGGCCTGGCCAGTTCAGATTTCAGTGTTAGGTTTTGGGTCATTCACTACATGGAGAGAAAGGTGAATCAAACAGTCATCATCCAATTGCGAGGCAGCCACCCTTCTTCCATAAAATTCAATGCAACTGCAAGTATAAAAGAAAACCACCCACTTGGAGTCTTGGGCAGACAAACCCAAACCTTATCCGCACGGTATTTAGCAGAGTTCAGTTGCGTTTAATTCACTTGGCCAAACGAGTTCCACGTACCCCAAAGTTGATACAAAGACAGATTGATATCCAAAAGATTTAAAAATAACAAATAAATATTTCTATCATATCGTTATAAATTTTTATCAAAAAACAGTATAGTATTTCATATACAGTTACAAATTTTTAAAATTTAATCTTTTCTCCGTATCAATTCTCACCCCAAGCCCGTTTGTACGACCTCTTGCATTATCGATCGATTTTTTGACCAGATTTAACATTTTCTACGAAGTTCGGTGATAAACAGTGGCATGACCCTGCTGGCATACGCTGGAAATGGAGATCGATGGGTATTCTAGTTTTTTCATCACTTTTGTCTTTTAGCATATTCTTAACAGAACATGATAGAAAGTGAGATTTTGTCATTTCTAAACCTTTTGGTAGGGGTGAGCGGTTCCGGTACCCTCCATTTTCTAGGAAAACCGGAACCAGAACGCCACAGTGGAGGTTCCAAAAAAAGGAACCGGGACCAGAACCGCACAGTGCAGGTTCTTCAGTTCAAGGAACTGGAACCTAAAATGCAAGTTCCGGTCCTTTCCGGGGTACCTATAAAAAATTCAATTACCCCTATTAGTTTAAAAAATGATAAAAATACCTTAAAAGTTTACAAATACACCCTAACAAATATACTTTGGGTTTAGGGTTAATTATAATGTAATATTTATTAATTAAACTGTAATCATTTAATTGAGTATGTAATAGTGTTATAATAGAATGTTATAATTAATTAAGTAATCATACCTAAATTTATAATGTAATGTTTATAATTAATAAAATTTTAATCATTTAATAAGTTTATGTAAATTAGTAAATTAATTACTAATATTTATAATATAATGTCATAATCAATAAGTAAAATAATTATGTAATGTTATATTAATTTGATCATACTAGAATAGTATAATGTATTATAATGAATTAAGTAATCATACTATAAATCTATATTTTAATATTATAATTAATTAAATTTCAAATCATTAATTAATATACTAATGTTTATAATGGAATGTTATAATTGATTAAGTAATCATATTATAAATATATAAGGTAAGTTATAATTAATTAATTTAATCGTTTAAAATAATGTAATAATATAGTAAATTACTATGTTTTAATATAATGTTATAAATTTATGTAATCATTTAAGAGTAACACTACACCACTAACACTTCTCACTAACGCCACATGTCAGCTCACAATTCGTCAATTCACTGGGTGGTCCATTTGTCCAATAATAAGTCCCACCTAACCAAGCCAATCACAAACTCCCACGTGTGGTTAGTAAGAGGGATTAGTCAGAGTGATTAGTGAGGTTAGTATTATTGATTATTAAATATGTAAGCATAATTAAGTAAGTGACATAATTTATGTAAATATAATGTTATAATAATTGAAATAATATTGATTTAATGTAATGCTTAATTAATGTTTATAATGAAATGTTTTAAGGTAATGTTATAATTAATTAAATTTATAATCATTTAATTAAGTATTGTGCTAATTTTATGTATGTAAATTGATAATTACTAAGTTTGAACATAATATCATAACTCATATCAATTAAGTAATCATTTAATTATGTAATGTTATAATTAATTATGTGATCACATTATAATGTAAGTTATAGTAAATTAAGTAATCAGTTATAATCTTTATGTTATGTTATAATTAATTAAAATTTTAACATAATTAAGTAATGTAATAAATAATAATGTAGCAAATTACTAATGTTTATAATGGATGTTATAAATTTATAAACAATTAAGTAATTATTAACTTTGTAATAATTTATTAATTAAGTGATCATAATATAATGTAAGTAATAATGTTATAATTTAATAATAATATTTAACTATAGTAATATTTAATTAATTAAATTATAACTTTAATTAAGAATCATTTGTTTATAATGTAATGATTAATAATGTTTATTAATAATGTTTAATCAATAAATAATCATCTAATTATGTAATGTTATAATTAATTATGTAATCAACTAATCGTACTATAATGAAATAGTGAAATGTTACAATGAATTAAGTGATCATACTATAAGTTAATATAGTATTATAATTTATTTATTTATAATAAAATATTATAATAATAAGTAATCATTTAATTATAGTAATATTACAATTATTACATAACGTACTATAAATTATAATTTAATATTGTAATTAATATAAATTTTTAATCATTTAATTAATTTATGCTAATGTTTATGTAGTAAATTAGTAATTAGTAATTTTATAATATAATGTCATAATCAATTGTATACATTAATTATGTAATGTATAATTAATTATATAATATAAATATATAATATTATAATTTAATGTTATAGTGAATTAAATATAAGTAATCATACTAAATTTTTAATGTAATATTATAATTAATTAAATTTTTAATCATTTAATTAAGTTGTATAATGTTATAATAAAATGTTATAATGATTAAGTAATATATATAAATCTAATATATAATGCTTAATTAATTAAATTATAATTATTAATTAAGTAATATACTAAATGTTATAAATTATAAGTCAATAATTAAGTAGCAATCAATTAATGTAATGCTATAATTAATTATACTAAAATCCATTAAGTAATGTTATAAAATTATAATTAATTAAGTAATCATTTAACTATAATGTAATGTTATAAACTTATAATTGATTAAGTATGATAATTAACTAGTAATTAAATTTATTAATGTTTATCAGTCTATCGTATATAATTAATTAATTGCTAATTTATTATAGATATACTTAGAAATTGATAATTGAAGTAAATAACTAAATATATTATTACTCAATCAAATATACTATTTTATTCAAAAATAATTATTTTAATAACATTAAAAATGCAAATTATTCACTTAATTAATCAAAACTTTAATATTAATGTATTATAATATATTAAAACTTTTAATATGGAGTAATTTATATGTAATAAGTATAATTGTATTCGTATATTTATTTAATTATGTTATTCTAAAAATTTAACTTTTTTTATTTTAAATTATTTTATATGTAAAATAATAGAAACCCTCAATTATTCACATTTCACAAATATTTCATTGTAGTCCAGGTTCCAAACATGTTCTAAAACAAGTTATAAAACATATTCCAAAAATCAGTTCCAAATCGGGTACACTCTATAGGTTCCAAACAGGGTACCTTTTTCACAGGTTCTAGTTCCGGTTCCTCCACACACAAAAACCGGACCCGCATAGTATCGATTCAAAAAAATTGGAACCGAAACCTATGCACACAGTGCCAATTCAGGGTAGGTTCTGGTTTCGATTCTACCTGTTATCTGTGCTCACCCCTACCTTTTGGGTACCATTTTATCTATACAACAAACTTTGGGTATATGTAAATAGTTGCCCCAATTAATTTTATTTCATATGTAATGGGTCCACATCCACCATGAGTGTTCGCCAAAACACAAGTTATTACATAAGTGGAATGATTTCATATAAAGCTTCGCTTGGATCTTGGAACAAAGTGTAGCAAATGGGACAACCTAAGATGCTTTAGCATTATACCCGTGCACACGTGGCCTCGAAAAAGATACAAACCAAATAATCAGATACTAATAAAAAAATCAACGGTTCAGAATGTTGGTATAAGAAATAGGTAATCAAATCGTGGGTTGGAGATTTATATTGAGACCTAAGTAAGTGGAAAAAAATAATTTGATAAAAGTGGGTCCACCCTACTTGTAACAATCATGTTCGGCTGAATAGATGCGAACTCATACACGCAAGTAAAAACCAAATAGTAAGGTCGATTTGTTTCTGATCAAACCGGCGACTTTGTACTGGGATACTGATAATACTACTGACAAACGAGCACAGCACTCCCGCCTGCAAAATTCTTGTTTTAAACACAGAATATTTGAGACAGAAGAAGAGGGAGAGAGGGGAGAGAGAAGAGTTATGGCGTCGGACGTGGCGTGCTGTGGGACGATGTTTTCGGTTTATGTGGTGGTTATAATCGGGTTGGTTGGCTTCGCTGGGTTGATGGCTGGCCTAACACTGGGTTTAATGTCTTTAGGCCTCGTCGACCTTGAAGTACTCATCAAGTCCGGTCGTCCTCAGGATCGTATTCATGCTGGTACTCTCTTTCTCTTACCTTCAATTTGTAACCTGTTGATGAAACTCAAACTTAATTTGGAAATTGTTGATCCCTTTTGTTCTAACAATTTACTTAGCCTCCTGGTTAATTGTCCTTATCATCCGAAATTCAATAAAAATGAATAAACCTTTTATACACCTTGGTTTTGATATGGTGTGGTAAAGTGGGCCACTAAGTTGACTAACTGAGTTATCGGTGGATCATCTTGTGTGTGGTTGGGTTCTAACTCATGACATTCTAACTTATGACAATCTGATTCATGAAGTGATCTGTTTGATTCTTTTTGCAGCTAAAATATTTCCTGTGGTGAAGAATCAGCATCTTCTGCTATGTACTCTTTTGATTGGAAACTCTGTTGCCATGGAGGTAAATTGCTAGGTTCTATGTAGTTTACGAGAGAAATAATTGCTAGTTTTTCTCACTCTTGTTTTCTCTCTCTTCCAAATAGGCTCTTCCCATATTCTTGGACAAGCTTGTGCCTCCATGGGCTGCAATTTTGATATCAGTGACTTTGATTCTCATGTTCGGAGAGGTTACTAATTTTTAAACTGATTAAGCATTATTTCTGTGAAAAGGTATCTCTTCTCTCAAGTACTCTAATCTATCTATGATTTTATTTCTGGGCATAGATAATGCCACAAGCAGTCTGCACCCGTTATGGCCTGACTGTTGGAGCAACAATGGCACCCGTGGTCCGTGTTCTTCTTTGGCTTTTTTTCCCTGTATCTTATCCAATTAGTAAGGTGTGACCGATTCTTAACGTCAATGTTTGTATTTTGTTTTTGTTTTTGTGCACGTTTTGTTTGTTATTGATGAGTTGTTTGGAATTACTTTCGCCATTAAATTGAGTTTTGAGAGGTTGCTTTTCTCTTCTTAATGCATGTATAATTGGAGGTTTTGGATTGGATGTTGGGTAAAGGGCAGGGGGTTCTTTTACGGAGGGCAGAGCTAAAGACTTTTGTGAATTTTCATGGCAATGAGGTATCAAGTTTAACATTTCTTGTTTTTGATCAATTGCGCAAACAGGTTGAGGCATATTCAGATCAAACTATCTTAGCCAAATTTTCTGATGAATCATTGCATATGTACACTTTGTTTTTTAGGCTGGGAAAGGTGGGGATCTAACTCATGATGAGACTACTATCATCGCTGGAGCGCTTGAATTGACTGAAAAGACTGCAAAAGATGCCATGACTCCAATATCAAAGGCATTTTCCCTTGATCTGGATGCAACTCTTAATTTGTGGGTTTTTGGATTCTTGTTCATTCTCTTTTGACTGTTTTATGTGTTCTTCATATGTTCTAATTCTCTGTCATTTTAATTTAGGGATACACTGAATGCAGTAATGGCCATGGGTCATAGTAGAGTGCCAGTTTACTTTGGAAGTCCAACAAATATTATAGGCCTTATTCTGGTAATTTCCTTTCTGTGATAAAATATTCTACTATAGTTTATTCAAATAATCAAATAAAATAATATTACACCCTACATATATTTTCACTACCTTACATTTACCATATACCCCTAACTCTATACACATAACTTCTATCACTCCTCCTCAAACTGGAGCATATATATCTATCATGCCCAGCTTGTTACAAATATAGGTTACCCTTTTTCCAACTAGAGATTTAGTAAAGAAATCAGCTAGTTGTTTCCTTGTTCTAACATGCTTAGTGAAAATTAATTTCTGTTCAAATTTTTCTTGCACAAAATGACAATCAACTTCTATATGCTTTGTCTGCTCATGAAAAACTGGATTGTTGGCTATATGTATGACTGCTTGGTTATCACACCACAAGTCCATAATCCCTGGATCACCAATTCCAACTTCTATAAAGAGATATCTTGTCCATATAAGCTCATAAGTTACTTGTGCCATAGCTCGGTACTAAGATTCTGCACTTGATCTAGCTACAACAGGTTGTTTCTTACTTTTCCAAGAAATAAGATTCCCTCAAACAAAAACACAAAATCCAGTCACAAAACACCTATCTACAGATGATCTTGCCCAATCTGCATCTGAAAATCCTTCTACTTTACTGTGGCCATGATTACCATAAAGGATCCCACGTCTAGAAGCCCCTTTGAGATATTTCAAAATATGAAGAACCGCATCCCAATGAGGTGTCCTAGGAGATGACATAAACTGACTTACCACACTCACTGAGAAAGCAATATTTGGACAAGTTATTGTAAGATAATTCAACTTTTCAACTATTCGTCTGCATTGCTTTGGATCATCAAACACCTCTCCATCCTCAGCATTCAATTTTATGTTAATAACCATAGGAGTATCACAAGGCTTGGCTCCAATTAGACCTGTTTCAGTCAATAAATCTAACACATACTTGCGTTGAGACAAGACAATCCTTCTCCTACTTCGAGAAACCTCAACTTCCAGAAAATACTTTAAAGAGTCTTAAGTCTTTTATGTGAAATTTGGAAGCCAAAAAGATTTTCAAACTGTGAATACCAACACTATCACTACCAGTGATTATAATGTCATCAACATAAACAACAAGAAGGAGAATACCAGAACTAGATTGCCTATAGAAGATAGAATGATCATAAGCACTTCTGTGCAAACCAAATTCAGTCACTACATCAGTAAATCTCCCAAACCAAGCACGTGGAGATTGTTTCAAACCATATAAAGATTTCCTTAGTTTGCATACCTTTCCAGACTCCCCTTGAGTAACAAACCCTGGTGGTTGATCCATGTAAACCTCCTCAAGAAGATTACCATGAAGAAAGACATTTTTGACATCAAGTTGGTGAAGGAGCCAACTATAGGAAGCTGCAAGAGAAATAAATAACTGAATAGAGGTCATCACAGCAACAGGAGAAAATGTCTCCGAATAATCAATACGATATGTCTGAGCATAACCCTTAGCAACCAACTGAACTTTCAACTGGGCCACAGGCCCATCAGGATTAACCTTCACCGTGAAAACCCACTTACACCCAATGACTTTTTTGTCACCAGGTAAATCAACGAGATCCCATGTACTATTATGCTCAAGAGCCAACATCTCTTCTTCCATAGCCCTTCGCCATCCATCATGAGCAACTGCTTCAGACACTAAACGGGGAACAGACACGGAATCTAAAGAGGCAACAAATGACTTGGAAGATAGAGACAATGAGTTATAAGAAACAAAAAGGGAATAGGATAAGTACAAGAGCGCTTACCTTTACGTAGAGCAATGGGAAGATCTAGGTTAGAAGGAGGAGGAGTTGGCTTCGGGGGTGAGGCAAGCAGTAGGGGCAATGTCTCAGGTGTCTCAGATGTCGATACTGGTGCTAGTGCCGGTGCCACTTGCTGTGGTGGAGGGCGGCGAGAGTATATCTGAGTGACATGAGGACGAGACAGGGGTGAAAAACTATAGTGAGTAATGGTATAAATAAGAAAATCAGCAGTGACCAAAGAAGAAGTTGGAATGGAATCGTCAACATAAGAAGTGGTTTCGAAGAATGAAATATCAGCCGAGACAATATACTTATCTAAAGTAGGAGAGAAACAACGATAGCCTTTTTGATACCGTGGGTAACCCAAGAATATATACTTGAGGGATCTAGGGTCTAATTTGGAAAGGTGAGGGTGAACGTCTTGAACAAAACAAGTACACCCAAAGATTTTGGGAGCGAGGGAGAACAAAGGTTGAGAAGGAAAAAGAATGGAGTAAGGTATTTGGCCAGACAAAATAGATGAAGGCACACGATTAAAAACTTTACTATGAAAGAGAAGTTTACGAGCGACCTCTAATAAATGACGATTTTTTCGTTCAATAACTCCATTTTGCTGAGGCGTCTACACATAAGATGATTGATGAATAATACTCTGGTAGACAAAAAAGAAGAGAGAAAAGAAGAAAAATATTCTTTGGCATTATCACTTCGCAAAATTTGATAGATAAAGCAAATTGGTTTGGCATCTTAGCATAAAAGGCACAAAATATAGAGAATAATTGAGAACAATTTTTCATAAAATATAGCAACGTAACACGTGAAAAATCATCCACAAAAGTATCAAAATATTTATAACTAGATTTAGATGAAACGGGACAAGGACCCCAAATGTCAGAATGTATAACATCAAAATGAGTAATAGCTCGTTTATTTTTTCTAGGACTAAAAGACACTTAATGGTGTTTCCCAAATTGACACGCTTCATAGTTAAGCTGTGACATTGATTGTAAACTAAGACATAACTTCTTCAAGATTGGAAGAGGAGGATGACCAAAACGACCATGGAAGAGAGAGGAAGACAAATCACTGATACATGCAACATGTGGCGGCACTAGAATAGAGATGTCATCAAGCACATACAAGCCACCTGAGACAAGGCCCCTATCAATAATCTGCTTCGTCCTAAGATCCTAAAAGATACAATGAGTAGGGAAAAAGTAAACACCACAATCAAACGCAATAGTGATTTGACTAACAAATAAAAGATTAAAGAAAAAGTGAGGAAGACACATAACAGAGGAGAGAGACATAGATTTGGTGGGATTAGTAGTACCACAACCCATAATCGGTACAGTAGACCCATTAGCTAAAGTAACAGAAGACAAATCAAAAGAAGGTGTAAATGAGGAGAGAATACCTGTATCACCTGTCATATGGTGCGTAGTACCAGATTCAATGACTCAATTACGACTAGAAGTAGATACACAAGGTTTTGGATTACCTAGCTGAGTTAATGTAGCAGCAGTTAGTAGAATGGATGACTGGGGGCCAGCAAGCTGAGTGAGGCGAGCATACTCATTTGCAGATATAGTAACCTGTGAAGGAGTACGTAAAATATCATCTTGAGCGGCACCATGAGCATATTTCTGAGTGCTCGACATAGTTGGAGGTTTTCCATGTAACTTCCAACAATTCCTTTTGACATGACCTTCAGCACCACAATGGAAGCAAGTACGAGGACTATTACCATTGCCACGAGTACCCCTGATATCCCGATTAGCACCTTTGTTGCCTCTACTACTATTAGACTTCATGCTATCAAGAGCCGCATGATCTGGAGCAAAATTCTAAAGATTCTCCCTGTCTTTAGATGCTCCTCTATCTTCCCCATTACTAACCTGAAGAAGATGAGCATAAACCTTCGTTAGGGAAGGAAGTTTGTTGCTATTAAGGAGTTGTGTCTGAACTATCTCATATTCTGGTCTCAGCTCAGCTAGAAAACATTGCACCACCACTTGCTCTTCTTGTTCTTTCACTTGCACAACATCTGCAGTCACAGGGAATATAGCTCGTTTTTCCTAAAAGGCTTGCTTCACCTCTGTATAGTATTCAAGTAATGTTTTCTCTTGCATATTTGCCCGATAAATCCGCAATAACAGCTCATGAACATGAGACAAGTCCTGTTTACTAGCATACAGAAACTCTAGATACTCCCATAACTCTTTAACTATATCACAATGATCAGTAACATCATCCACTGTGGAATCCAGAGTATTCTGGATCTGATTAAACAATTTATCATCCTCCATGAGCCATTTCTTCTGAATTCTCCTAACACACTCTAATTTCTTATCACTACCCTCTGGTTGCTTATCACTCTCTGATTGTGGAAGTGAATCCGTAGGTGGATCCTCAGTCAAATGATCCCTCATGTCAATGCTAGAAACATATCTCCTAATAGTTCGTCTACATTGAGCATAATTCTGCTTTCCCGGTAACTTCCTATCAGTAATCTTTACAGATGAGTGGACTGAAATTTTAATCACCACCTGTTTACCTTCCACTGCCATAGCTTAATCAAATCAACAATGATTCTCTACTAAGCTCACAGACAAGATCACCTCTAATCACCAATATCCAGCAAACCCAAATCACCAATTCACAACAAATTTACGACTCAAATCCAACACCATAACTAGAACAATTATAAATAAACATAAAAAAAAGGAACACAATAACCAGAAACTGTAGAATAATAAAAAATAATCACCAACTGGAAACCACAATCAGAAAACAGGAGACGCGACAAACTTAGTCATCGGAAAAAGTAACAACCTTGAACAGTGTCTCGTGAACAGTATCACGTAAACAGTGTTGCGTGAACAGTGCCTTCGGGGCCACCAGAACAAAACCCTAAGATTGGTGCTATGATACCATGTGATACAATATTCTACTGGAGTTTATTCAAATAATCAAATAAAATAATATTACATCCTATATATATTTTCACTATCTTACATTTACACATATACCCCTAACTCTATACACAACTTCTATTACTTTCTTCTAGTACATGAGACAATAGTTTTGTGGATTGTTTGTAGTGTGGATACTTCACATTCTTTCTTCAACTACTTTGATTTTGGTTATCATGGTCACGTTTTCTGTTATTCTTAATTGATTGGGAGAAAATGTTACCATAAGATTTTTGTAGTTCTTCTTTATTTTCATAATCTAGAAGATGTACATTTCCTTAAATACAAGGGTGGATGATATATGAGTTAGGCCTATGTACTTTCAGAATTATTCTTTTAAATACTGAAATCGAATAGTTTGATTTATTATCAGAGGTATGGATGCCTGGACTTTTCCCTTATTTCACCTTTTCTTTTTCTGTTCTCTTCCTTGGCCTTTTTGTTCTACAACTTAAAGCTCAAGTTATTTTTCATAGTTGCTCTGTGCTGTTAATCATTATGTCATGCTCGCTACATGATTCATAGCAACTAATTTCTTCATGTTTTTCAAGTTTGCCATCAAACACAATTCTTTGTAACCCTAACCAAATCTCAAACCCTCCTTTTATGTTATGCATATGTAATATAAATGATGTAGATCTTATGATCTCTTTCTTCATGATATTTAGTTGAACTCACTAGTTTCATCTGTAATTTGGGCAGGTTAAAAATCTCTTAACAGTCGATCACAGAGATGGAGTTTCTCTGAGAAAAATGATCTTAAGAAAAATACCTAGGTATGATAATTTTTTATTTTCTCTTGAAGAGAACTATATGTATAGAGCTAAGTGATATTATTTCTCTCTCCCATTCATCCCACAGGGTGTCAGAAGATATGCCTCTGTATGATATTCTAAATGAATTTCAGAAGGGTCATAGCCACATTGCTGTCGTATATAAGGTTTTAAACGGGAAAAAAGAGGGTGAACAGTTTAAGGACAGCTGTAAGAAGCCAAGAGGACAACCTGAGAAATCAATGAAAAAAGGTGAGGATGTTGTAATAGCAATATATTATTACTATGTTTGAGTTGCAGGATCCTGACCTAAGTTTCTTTCCTTAAAGTTTCACATTGTATATTGCTACTCGTAGGATTGCACTTATTTTTCAATGAGTAAACATGTGTTCATTTTTCATTTATACCTTATAAGTCATTATTGAAAAGTTACATTAAAAAAATTCCCCTAATGGTTTCAAATTTCTCAGAAATCTTTATGTGACAGCTGTTGCCCTGACCTCATTTTGTGATCATTCCTGATCAGTTCCTGAAAGTGCTGTTCTGTTACTATCATAATTGTGTTTTTCCTTCATCTAGAATATTTTGTTATTTGTATACGTGGCACGTCTAATGTCTGTGATAGGTTGTCCGTTCCAGTGAGGAAAAAGCCTGTAAATTTCACTGTTCTTACTTCTGCAATTGTTGCTTTCATTATGAGTTTCCATTGATTGCTATTGCAAGACTACTTTACCAGTCTTGGTTCCCTAGGTTGCTTGATCTTTTTCTTCAAATTAAATATAACTGGTCTTTGGTTGAATTCTCAGTTGACAGTGAGGATAATGCTTCTACCCAACATTTGGGGAATAAATTGGAATCAACAAAGAAAAGTCCACCAGCTGCTTATGCCTTTAAGAAACGACATAGAGGTTGTTCTTTTTGCATTCTGGACATTGTGAATGCTCCTATTCCTGAGTTCCCAGCCAATGAGGAGGTTGTAGGTGTTATTACCATGGAGGATGTCATTGAAGAACTTCTTCAGGTAAATCTAAGACTGAAATACATTATGGCCATGTGTTCAAGTGAGAGTTTATGGACAGACCATTATATAGGCCTTAATATGGGTTTTCTTAACATCTATTCAATGTGTTAATAATGATGATATTACGCCTCTTCCCTGAGATATGGGACTCCTAGCAGGGAACTATTACTTCCAATTTACTGCAAGAAACATGCTTAGGCAGTGTACTGGAGTTTTACATTTTTATTGACTGATTATGTGAAAAAGTAGTCTGTCTGAAAATGTTGGTATAATGACTATAACTGCAGTTGAAATTTTTACTTATAGAGTTGTTGTTGCTCTGTTCTTTTAGTTTTAGTTTGTCTGTGCTGATCTATATTTCAAATTTTTGCGTATGTCAGGAGGAGATACTGGATGAAACTGATGAGTATGTCAATATCCACAATAGGTAAAATTTGATTCTTCTATCTCCATCTGGTTCTACTGCTGTGTATTGTTGTATTTGGAGCCTGCTGGTGCTGGTTAACCAAGGTGCTGTTTTCTGTTACAAGTTTTGTTTGTGTCCATGAAAGATGGAAAGCCATGGTTGTTTGGCATCATCTTATTTGTTTCACTGTCTAATATTGCAAGCACGACATGGCAAGGCTTCATCCATCCTATTGCTAAGCAGGATGATAGAACTGCTGATTTCTTCCTCCATTTTTAAATGGATTTAGAACCCTTAAGACTTGTTGATTCACTATGTTGTATGGAATAGCAGTTGAACCATGCAGGTACACGTCTCATGAATGCACTAACCTAGTGGTTCTTGTGAATCCAGGATAAAAGTTAATATGCATGCGTCTCAAGAAAAGGCTCCTGATTCAGATTTGTCACAACCATCATTCAATGGCTCGTCTGCCATACGGAGCTCCAACCCAACATCACCAACACCCATGGGTTTCACTGTCACTCAGAACTCCTCAGTCTCTCCTTCCTTGGTGGCCTCCACTCCAACTCTCTCAATCTCTAGCAATACTTCAGTCACAGGTTCACCCACCCCAACACATCATGTTTTAAAGGAGACTTGTTAAAGTATAGATGAAAATTTGGGGTTTTCTCATGCTTAGTCTTGATATGATAAGTAAGGATATGAACCCTATAATGGAGTTACATAACCCTCAATATACCTGGAAAATTAGGTAGAATGCAGCAAAAGGATATGGTGTTCTTATGTAGAAAGGGGTGCTTTTCTTGTCAGATGTGATGAAAATGAAATTTCCACGGTTTCTACTGTAGGTTGATGTAAAATTATTAAGTGAATGAAATTTTCAGTTCATTTATTGCAGAAGAATTCACATTCCAAAAGGATTAATGATGTCACTGAAGAGAAAAGATGCAGTCATGATTAGCAAACTGTATGAGAAGAAAGGGGTGTAAAACTGTTTCTTTTTTGGTGTACACTGTACATGTAGAGGCAGTATGGAGGCAATGAGACAAAGAAGATAACTAATTTACACGCAACCAAATTAGATATGGAATAGCACAAAAGTATCTGCACCAGATATTTGAAAACTAGAGACTACTGGTGTGCAAGGATTTTAATAGATTTTGGACTCCAATTTGTTTCCTCCCATAGACATGGCAAGACGCAAGATCCTCAATGAATGACTCCAAAATGTGGACTTGTAAAACTATTCTGTGTTCTTATAAATTTGCTAAAACATGACAATATCCCCAACTTAAAACTAAAAGAAATAATTTGCTAGAGGAAGTAAAGCGACTGCAATATTCTGGGGTTCGCAGTAAAATCGGCTTGAAAAAGCTTTTTCCTTAAACATGTTTCCAACGGTTGTACTAATCAATCAATGGATGCCTATAATTTCTTTTTTCCCTTAAAGTTTATGTAAAAAAAGAGAAGAAGAGGAAAACTAGGAGTAAACCACTGGCGGATCTTTTTCTTACGGGCATGCCAAAATCTTTTTCTCATTTCACATTTCATAGCAACTACCACTGGCGCATTATGCGCAGTCACATGCATGTATAAAACATCAGACGGCCCATCTATTGAGTAAGCACTAAGCAGTAAGCAGTGCACGCCCTCTAGCAGAAATTCGGTACTATTATGCCTAAAAAAAGTCAGGTTAATGTGGACTCTTATCAGCAAGAGTCAATCAGAATTCAGAGAGGATTTATGTCATCTAGACGTTTGCCACATCGCGCAATGATGGAAAAGGTATAATTCTCGTTAGTGCAGTAGGTGAATGTCATGCTTATAAGTGGCTAGAAATCGTCCATATGCCCAAGCCTTACATAATTTAAGGTTATTTCTCGTGCAAATAACCAATGAGAAGCGGGTTAGAAATTGTACTCCACTTAACAAATTACAGGCTTATGATTATTACCTTAAATCCTCCCACTATAAATAGAGAGATACTCTCTCATTTAAGAGATTAGTTTATCTTAGTCTTAAACAACATGCACACTCTCTCTCTATTTTCTCTCTAGATTATAACTCAACTCATTATATGCGACCTAACCATAACCTTTTATTAATACAATTACAATGAACGTAAAAATTGCTTTTGAGTATCTGAATCACTTTAAAAATTGTCTTTTATTTACTCTCTTGCTATACATTTCCATATCTGTAATCTCTAAACCCGTTTAACATTTTACACACGTATGAGTCGCATAACGTTGATGTTCAAAACCGAAATTTTCGCAGCTGGTCCTTCCCACTCAAAGTGCCTTTTCTACAACATCTGTCTCACACTCACCCATGCTCACTGATTTGTCCACGCTATACCTCTATATTATCTCAACTCTTAACTTAACCCTTCTCTGATCTCTCTTCTCAGCTCTCCTCCTTTTTGTCTTTTTTTTTTTTTTTTTTTTTTTAAAAAATTTGAATTCGGTAGGTGCCAGCCACTGGCCAGTACAATTATACTATACTATCCCAGTTGATAGCTCAACTAATATTTAGCGTGTTAACCAATCTGTGCACTCCAAATTTCTTGCTTTCCAAGTGTGGTTGTCTTGATGAGATTGAGATTTTCTTCTTTGCTTTTTTTCCAGATTATAACTTCTCCCCTTTAACCTTTTCATTATTTTGTTGTATATACATTATTATTCGTTTCTCATAGATCTATCTCCTCGCTACTCATTTTTAAATTTTTAGTACTGTATTTCGTATTCGATGCGTTTTGTTTGATTACTTCTTTCGAAGAAGAAGATTGATTGCTGAGAAATGGCTATAGCTCGGTTAGCTCGATTGGGCCGCCAAGCAAAACGACCGCATGGATTGTGCATAAAGATGAGTGCAGTTGCAATCTTGGGCCTTTGCTTCATATTCGTTTGGTCTATGTTCTCTTCTCCTGCAAATTCAGTAACCTCTCAAAGGGAAAGCTTTGATGACATCTCTGAACCCGTCGCAGCTAATACAAAGGTAACCAATTCTTGGATTCAATCTCAAGAAAAGAGACCACAAAAGCATAATCAAGAAGAAGACAAAAAGGCCAAACTTGAATCCGATTTGGAAAAGAAAGATGAGAAAAAGGTTAATGGATCTGTTTCTGTATCTGTTCATAAACATGAATCTAAGAAAAAGAACGAAAAAGATGCGAAGAAAGTCAAGCATAATGTAAAGTCACCAAATGAGGAAACAAATGAGAAAACTGAGATTGATGATTTAGAAAATGAAAACGATGAGGAACTAGAAGAAGGACTAGTAGTGGATGGTAAGGAAGAAGAATTTAATAGTGAAGGTGAAGTGATTGTGGATACAGAAGGTAATGATAATTTAATTCAGCAAGAGAATGAAGAATCTGTGGAGAAGGTTGAAGGTGAGAGTGGTGGATCAACAAGTACTGGAAAAAAGAGGAAGATAAAGGGTCCTGTTTTTTATCCCAAATCACATTATAGTTGGAAATTATGTAGCACAAGGAGCAAGCAGAATTACATTCCTTGTATTGACATTGAAAGTGGTACTGCAAAGTTTCTGAGTCATCGGCATAGAGAGAGGAGTTGCCCCAGATCTCCTCCTATTTGCCTTGTTCCACTTCCTCATGCTGGTTATGGACCTCCAGTGCCCTGGCCTGACAGCAAATCAAAGGTGTATAAAAGGGTTTATTCTTTTTTATTGAATTTTGGATAGATTTTGATTGATGTCCTGATCTGGCAGTGTGTTACTCTTTCTGCAGATATTGTATAAGAACGTGGCGCATCCAAAACTTGCTGCATATATTAAGAAACATAATTGGTTGGTGGAGGATGGAGAGCATCTTACATTTCCCCAGAATCAATCTGAATTCAAGGGTGGAGTGCTTCACTATCTAGAATCCATTGAAGAGGTGCATTTTTCTTATTCGTGAACCAAAAGTTGAATCAATAAATTTTCTGTTTGAGCCCCTATACAGAGATAACGATATAAAAGCTATTAAACTAACAAAAGAATTTGAATAGACAAGCTTTTTCCCTCTTCAATATGATAATATTCCATTTTTACCATGCCAAAGGTCACGTAAGCCTTTCAATCTTTCTCAGTTCAATACAAAAGTTTTAACGCTATATGTTTCTCAAGTTTACTTTCTTTCTTTCCTTCTTCTTTTAATTTAACCTCCTTTTTCTAAATCATGTACCTCATATGTGGGAGGGAACTGATGACCCATGGTGAAGATTACTAATTCTAAAGCTCACCAATTGTACCACTCTGTAAATTTGTATAGCTCATCTCTGCTCCTTCAATATCATACCTATGTCAACTCACCATGCCATCTGTAGCACCATAAAATACATGATCCGTTCTGTGTAAGATTGGTGCCTATATAAGCAACAATCAGGAAGTTGCAAACGAACTTTGTGTCTGAATTATCTTAAGAGGAAAAACAAAAAGAGTGGATGTAAATACTTTTAATAGTATATATAAGTATGTTAAATTATTTAGGATATAACATAATTTCTTGTATTTTGTGTGTTATAGTTGCTTAATCAATAATTCAGTTCTTTTTTAGTTTGATTTGCCCATATTGAAAAACCCCATTACTACACTTGGCTGTTGACACTATATTTGCAGCCGCCTACATTTGTATATATCATTTTCTTTTTTTACTTTTAATTGTTTATAACCATTGTGCTCCCAGCTAACTACCAATTAACTGTAACCACAAATTCGTGTTATTGATTGTTTAAGACTTTAAATCCTTACCTTATTTAGCATTTTGAATTTTGATTGTATTTGATAGATGGTACCAGATATTGAGTGGGGAAAGAATATCCGTGTAGTTCTGGACATGGGTTGCGGAGATGAAAGCTTTGTGGCATCTCTCCTTGATAAGGAGGTGCTAACATTGTCCCTTGGCTTGAAGGATGACCTAGTTGACCTAGCACAAGTTTCTCTTGAGCGTGGATTTCCGACAGTTGTTAGCCCTTTTGGGAGTAGAAGGCTTCCTTTCCCCAGTGGTGTTTTTGATGCTATTCACTGTGGCGGATGTAGCATATCTTGGCACTCTAATGGTTTGTGCTTCCAATCCTCTTTCCTTCTTTTTATGTTATTATTAAAATAACATCTATTCTAATTCACATTTCAGTAAGATCAGTGTAATTGTTTTCTTCCACATTCAGGTGGAAAGCTTCTTCTGGAGATGAATAGGATTTTAAGGCCTGGTGGATACTTTATTTTGTCAACTAAACATGACAGCATTGAGGAAGAAGAAGGTTTGGCCTCTGTATGTCTTTTTAGTTTTGGAGCTAATGATGTTGGATACAAAACATGCAAATTCATGAGACATGAACTAGACCTGAAGTGCACTATTTTCCTCCTTAGGATTGATTTCCATAGTCCAGCTGAGGCTATTCGCTTTATTATATTGTTTATTTCTCCCTAGCTCTTTAAAAGTACTTGGAAGGTTTATTTTTTTTCCATCTCAGTCATCTTTATTGACTGGATGGCTATTATTACCATTGGCATGTGACATGCTGATAGGTTGACATGTATATTACTATATTCTATTAAACACCCTTCAAACCTTCACAGACTTGAATTAAAAATGTATGTTTTTACAGAGTTGAATGCTGGACTAGTTTCAACTCTAACTATTCACTGATAAGAAGCACTAAGATTGGCATCCCTTGATGTGCACATTTTAGCTATCTCAACCTATGTATACATGGTGGGTTTTGATGCCCCAGGATCACATCTGCGAGTAGAGCAGTTCATAGTGATTGTCAAGTTAAAGGGAAGATGACTATATACTTCTTGTTGCAATGGCAGAGAACTATTTTTAAAATCTTGCTGTGTGAATATAAGTGTAACCTTTACTAGTCTTGAATTGCTGTTTGCATTTAGCTATATACATCTCATCTCACATGCCAATGTGCAATGAAGTTTCTTCTGACCATATGTACAGAACAACTGTCTAGTCTATTTGCTGGTGCTGCAGTTCTAATAGAAGAAAACTCACATATTCTATCTTGTTTGATATGCTACTTTTTTTTTTTTCAGCCATGACCGCATTGACTGCATCTATCTGTTGGAATATTCTGGCGCATAAAACTGATGAAGTGAGTGAAGTGGGAGTTAAAATATACCAGAAACCCGAATCAAATGATATATATGAGCTGAGAAGAAAGAAAAATCCTCCTCTATGCAAGGAAAACGAAAACCCAGATGCAGCATGGTAGATCAAGATGAGCTTATTTTACAAAATTAATCTTTTTGTCTATGAATTTGTCATCCTATATTTTCTCTGGTAATGTTGCACATATGGTTTAAAATAAGTCAAGTTCACTGTCAGTGCATTAAGCTTAAGTTTTTTTCTTTTCATTAAATAGGAACAAGAGTCAAATTTGATATGAGGTTGATCAACGAAATTTTACAACAACACTTCCACATGATATATAAGTGAATTAGTATCTAGCTTCAGGCAGCCAAAGTGAACGATAATCCAGTGGTGGAATCAATTTTTTTCAACAAGGCTGTACCTTCTGCTAGCGAAGGTCAATTTGAGTTTCTACTTCAAGGATTATTGACTCTATAACTTTGCTTTAATTTGTAAGATATAACTTGAAGATAAGCTCTCAAAACACTCAAATTTTCATCAAACCAAAGAATTTAGTTTTTACTTACAATTTTTTAGTGTCACCATACAAGAATGTTGATCCTTAGATGAGTCTGATGCAAAATATCATTGTTTTGATTTTGTGCCACTTTACTTAATGACTGCAACTTTTTTTCTCTTAACAGGTATGTGCCTATGAAGAATTGTTTGCACACCATTCCATCTTCAATTGAACAACATGGAGCAGAGTGGCCTGAAGAATGGCCCAAGAGACTTGAAACGTATCCTGACTGGTTGAATGATAAAGAAAAATTGATTGCTGATACAAACCACTGGAAAGCTATTACTGATAAGTCCTATCTCACAGGAATGGGTATTGATTGGTCAAACATCCGGAATGTGATGGACATGAAAGCCATCTATGGAGGGTAGGCAAACTTTCAACCGAGTAATTTATATTCTTTGAAACTGCATAGTGCTTATTTATATAATCCATTATTTAAGTAGTAGTGTCCAAGAGCAGGATGAACAGTACATGCTATCTCTTTGATTAAGAGTAGTAGTCTTGCTCTCTCTCTCTCTCTCTCTCTCTCTTCTGATTTTCACCATCTGTTTTCATTACAAATACACTAAAATATGTTAAGAAATGGAATCCTTATGTTCATGGTAAAATGCAGATTTGCTGCAGCTCTTACACAACAAAAAGTTTGGGTGATGAATGTGGTCCCTGTCCATGCTCCAGACACACTTCCTGTTATTTATGATCGTGGTCTTGTTGGAGTCTACCATGATTGGTGCGAGTCTTTTGGGACTTATCCAAGATCTTATGACCTTTTGCATGCTGATCATTTGTTCTCACGGCTTAAGAATAGGTTAAAGTTCTTTCTAGTTCTGGCTTTGTGATAATGAGCTTTTAGCCCTCTCTAGATTTCTCTGTCTAAGCATCGTAACTTTGCTTTTTCTCTTGGCATTAGAAGTTTACTGATCCTTGCTGCCTGTTCTAAGTTCTAAACTTGTATATTACTTTGCAGCTGTAAGCAACCCGTGTCAATTGTTGTTGAGATGGATCGTTTATTACGACCTGGAGGTTGGGCAATTTTACGTGATAAGGTTGAGATATTGGATCCACTAGAGGGTATATTGAGAAGCATGCACTGGGAGATTCGAATGACTTATGCTCAGAATAAGGAGGGCATCTTATGTGCACAAAAAACATCGTGGCGGCCTTGAATGATTCTGCCTGGTTTACCTGTAAATAGAATGACTGCAAATTAGACAGAGATTACTCCCTTTCCCACTTTTACAGAGGCTCTGGGTGAAGGCAGGCGTAGCTGTTCCCTGTGTAGCATAACAAACAATACTGATTCTTCAAAATTTGTGAGGTACATGTGAAATCATTCGCCATTTTTAGCATGACGACTAGTAATGATTTTCAAGTTTCATGCGGATTTCGTATGAAGAACTGCTTGATTTTTATTTTTGGTCAAGTAAATAAATTTATAAAAAAAAGAGGGGAAAGGATATACAAAGGCTTAAACAAAAGGCGGCCAACCTATATCGGGACATGTCCTGAGATAGGGATCAAAAGTAAGCAAGCCGATTCACGGCCAAGAAAATCCTCTTGTGGTCCTATCTTAATCTCACCAAGAAGGATAAGGATACAAGAGGAGTATACAAAACTATATTCAAAGGAACTCAGACTACCACAGGACACCCTTTGGGTTAGGGGAACAAACAAAAGATAAACAATCAGGGAAAACAAAGAAAATACAACCAATATAACGGAACAAATCTTCACCCATCAAGGAGGAAATCAAGCACAACCAAACTTTAAAAAGCATCGTTATATTTGATTTTGACACTAACGATTTGCATATGTAAAGTGTTAAGTTGTTCTTAGAAGTTATACGTGAATGATCAAATAATCTAATGCAAAGACTGAATAATAAATGAAAAACGATTTTTAAAATTGTTCAGATGTTTAACGCAAGTCCTACGTCCACTGTTCTTTTATATATAAGAGATTACAAGAAGTTGCATATAACGAACAGCAAGTAGAGGTACAATAACTAATTATTCAGATATAATATCAAGTTAATCTCTTTCTCGTAAGTTTTCTTTGCTTTGAGAATATAGATTACAATCAAAATGTGAGTTTTTTGTCTTCGAATCCCGAAAATGAGAGGAGGAGTTCTTTACTTATAGTAGAGGAATTCAAGGTAATGATTACACATCTGCAAGTGGGTAGGTGTCTTGTAAGTATTTCCTTACCTTTCATTGGTTGATAATTTGGGAGATATCCTCAAATTATCTAGGATTTGAACATGTGTGCGACTTCTATTCACTTATAGACAAAACTTGAATCTGCCAAGTTGATGACATGCGTATTCTTTCTGTCTTGGGGCGACGTGACAGCTTCTGGACGGTACAAAATCTTCCTGAACTCTGATTGGAGCTAACTGATGTAAGCTTACGTCAACTCTGATTTTTTAGATATAACAATTCGTACTCATCAAATCACCAATGGGGATAGAATCATGGGAAATGGCTTTGAAAATGCTTGAGTTGGTTATGAAAGGAATTCAATTATATAATTTTGATGTGTAGATTGTGTGCAAATCACGAACTGATTTCATTTACATTTTCGTGACATAAAGGTGAAAATTTCATCAGGCGACTGATCTTAAAGGGAGATCTAAAATTGATTCGAGGCCCAGCCCAAAATCCTAAGGCCGCAGACCCATCATTTGAATTGAGCCCAATTTCTATACATACCAAACCCGCCGTCGTCTTCCGCCTCTTCGCCAGCCATTCTCTGCTTCTCTATTGCACTCCACTATGAACTTCACCTAAACAGCATTCCCTAAACCCCAAGATCAAACTCCAAAACCCCAACATGTCCTCTTCCTCAATACGTAGTCGCCTCACAGTTTTGGCTCTCCTTTCTGCCACCACCTTCTATTTCGTCTACAAATCTCGCCGCCTCAACAAACTTCTCAATCTCTCTTTAAACCTCAAAAAGCCTAGCCTTAAAAAGGGAAAGCTCCTTTTCATTTCACAAACTGGCACGTCGAGAACCCTAGCTCGCGGTCTGCACTCTCTCCTAACCTCTCAGAACTTCCCGTTCGACCTCGTTGATGCACAGAACTACGAGCCTGAAGACTTACCCAAAGAAACCCTGATCATAATTGTTGCTTCAACTTGGGAAGACGGAAAGCCTCCAGAAGCAGCTAAGTTTTTCACCAATTGGCTGGCTGAAAGCGCAAATGACTTTAGAGTGGGTTCTTTGCTGCTCTCGCAATGTAAGTTTGCGGTTTTTGGTGTTGGAAGTAAAGCTTATGAAAAATCGTTCAATTTGGTGGCGAAAGATTTGTCTACGAAATTGAGAGAATTGGGTGCGGCTGAGATTTTACCGGTTGTTGAGGGTGACGTGGATGGTGGTGAATTGGATGTTCTTTTTGATGATTGGAGTAAAAGAGTGGTTGGGGTTTTGAAAGGGGGTGATCAAGTAAGGAATGGCAACGTTGAGAGTGCCGTGGGAATGGAAAGTGAGGATGATGATCTTTATGATGATGAGGAGGAGGAGGAGGAGGAGGAGGAAGTCCTATCAGAGGTGGTTGATCTTGAGGATATTGCGGGTAAAGCGCCCTCCAGGAGGTCGGTAAATGTGGCTGAAACTAATGGAACAGTCAAGAATGGCAAGAGAGATATGGTCACTCCGGTTATTAGAGCCAGTTTAGAGAAGCAGGTATTCCTTGTAGTGTACTCTGTTGTTAGGACGATTTGAAATGGACTTTATATACTTCATTGCATTTTGAATTCTGAATTTTTTTTATTGATAAGAACATTCTTTCATGTAAAGAAAAACCATATGTACTTTAGGTTCCGCAACCTGTTACCAAAAGTAGTGATAGCTGGTGAGTTACAATTTTGATAGACACTAGTCCTGTGAACTCCCATCTATTTGTAAAATAGATAAATGTGATGATTAGTTGCTATAGCCCAGAGAATTTATACACAATAAAGAAGGTCTATTTTGCTTCTGATAAACGGTTAACAGCATTAGTTTCAACTCTTGTTTTGATTGGATAAAATTGGGCTCTTTGTATCACTTTCTATTTATGATTTTGGCTTTTGATATGACTGTTTCCTTTCTTGGGATGCGATCACAGGGATATAAAATTATCGGTTCACATAGCGGTGTAAAAATCTGCCGATGGACCAAGTCACAACTTAGAGGCCGTGGAGGTTGCTACAAGCACTCATTTTATGGCATAGAGAGCCATAGGTGATTATGAAGTTTTTATGCTTTTATTAAGCTCTGTCTCTGTTTATTGCTGTATTTATTGGTGATAATTTCATTTTCCTCCAGAATGTCAAGTAATTTGCTAATTCTTAGCTGTATTTACTTAGTCAGAATTTAAGAAACAAATACCTTGTCTTCCCCTTTTCTTCTCCTGGATATAGTTGTTTGACACCTTTAGAGATTAGAAGTTTGACACTTGGTGATATCAGAGTTCTTTTTTTTTTGGGTGGGTGGAGGCTCAGGAGTTAATAGGAAAGTTTGAACCTGTCCACAAACTCTCACACTCACACCCACACACAAATGAGAAAGGAGGAACTATATCATGGAGGGATGGACAATTTGTGGGAAAATCTGTGCATTTTTTTGAAAGCGTATCCTCTCCCACCTGCATCAAGAGGAAGAAGCTTGGATGGACATAGTCCTTTTTCTTCTGAGTTTTCTCTTACTTATAATCTTCATTCTGCCAAAACTTATGATTTACTTAATATTGATCAATTATCAAATGAAACAGATGCATGGAAGCTACCCCCAGTTTGGCATGTGCCAACAAATGTGTTTTCTGCTGGAGGCATCATACAAATCCTGTTGGGAAGAGTTGGCAGTGGAAGATGGATGACCCACTAGAGATTGTAAATTCAGCAATAGACCTTCACACGAAGATGATTAAGCAAATGAAAGGAGTTCCTGGTAATTATTATGTGTCTGCACCTTTTTCTTGTAAGTCCAATATGCTTGTTTCTACTTGATTATTCATGTGTAATGGTGAGTCTTCCCATGGAAAGAAAAAATTGCATCAATAATGGTATTTGCATTGCATCTCCCAATCTCCCATTTCCATTGAACACCATGAATTGGTCTGATTCCAGCACGTGTGAGTCAATAATGCAAACCAGTGGTTTTGAAGGTAAAGATAAAGATTGAATTTACCAGGTGTGAAAATTGGGGGTGGTGCAAATATTGGGGTTTAAATATCAATTCTGAATATTTTTCTACAGTTCAATAGATGGCCAACCTAGTTGTTGAGATAGTTTAACCTTTAATGATGTCCTAGTAATTTCTTGACAAATAATGACCAATCATAACTTCGTTTTGACTTTTAATTTTTAAATGCTGGAACCAGAGTGAGCTTATAAATGTGCTGGATTTAACTTCTTAGGTGGGTCAAAATATGATATCGCCTGTTTGCCAATGTTTTCTCGGATTTTGGTGGTGTCTGCTTTAGCATATGATTTACTGATATGCTTAACATGGAACACTCAAGCTACCTTTACTTTCATTTGTTGGAGTTGCGAAAGCGGCATACTTATGTCTGCATATAACATTTCATGGGGAAAGAAATTAATGTTCATAATTCCTTACTACTAATTGTTATGTCTGCAAGGTGGTTTGTACATGTTTAGGGTTTATTGGAGATTTTTGAAAGGATAATTCACATCATTGGCCTATCCATTGCAATTGATTAGAAAATTTTATGAATGTAGGCGTTACAATGGAGCGGTTAAATGAAGGCCTTACTCCTAGGCATTGTGCCTTATCACTTGTTGGTGAACCAATTATGTATCCAGAGATCAACTCACTTGTTGATGAGCTGCACGGAAGGCGGATTTCTACATTTCTTGTAACAAATGCACAGTTCCCTGACAAGATTAAAGATCTGAGGCCTGTCACGCAGGTCTGTGAGTTCATTTTCTGGAAGAAAACTAAATCCTGTGCGTGGAAAACTGCTTCAAATCTAATCATTGATAGTGAACCTATTTGACTTCTTTGGAACATGCAGTTATATGTGAGTGTAGATGCTGCAACAAAGGAAAGCTTGAAGGCAATTGACAGACCACTCTTTGGGGACTTCTGGGAGAGATTTATTGTAAGTAAATTAGATATATTGATATACTCTTTATTTTAGTGTGTTCTGAAAGAGTGAATTTGTGAATATCTTGGAGAAATAGACCACTGTGGAACTGGAAAGCAAAGTATATGATAATTTAAACTGTAACTAGCCAATTTTTGGTACAACAATCATTGAATATCTTATGGCTTACTTTTTCATCAAAGTTTTTCCAGATCATCATGAGTCTTTTTTATGTGTGGGTGTCATGGGAAAACCAACATGGCAAATGGTTGATGAGATGTTGGTATGAATTCAGCACCTCAGGGATTACTTATCACATTGTTTTTTCTTATATTGCCAGGATTCCTTGAAAGCTTTGAAAGATAAACAGCAGCGAACAGTTTATCGCTTGACACTGGTCAAAGGGTGGAACACAGAAGAAGTCGATGCTTATTTTAAACTCTTTAGCATTGGACATCCTGATTTTGTTGAAATCAAAGGCGTTACATACTGTGGATCGTAAGCTTTTTAATCCTGTCATGTTTTATATTGGCGATGCTGTTCTTGCATAATCTTGAGGAATTTCTTACAGGTCTGCTACATCGAAGTTGACAATGGAGAATGTTCCTTGGCATTCTGATGTGAAAGCCTTTTCAGAGGCTTTGGCTTTAAAAAGCGAAGGGGAGTATGAGGTTGCATGTGAGCATATCCACTCATGTTGTGTTCTCTTGGCAAAAACTGAGAGGTTCAAGGTCAATGGCCAATGGTTCACATGGATCGACTATGAAAAATTCCATGACCTGGTTGGTAACAGCATCAATTCAAATCTTTAAGAGTCTAGAATTTTATATCATTATTATGTATTATTTTATATTTGAGATGAAAATGCAGGTGGCTTCTGGAAGACATTTCAACAGCAAGGATTACATGGCTGCAACACCATCATGGGCTGTCTATGGAGCTGAGGAAGGTGGATTTGATCCAGATATGTCTCGATATAGGAAGGAGCGACATCACAAATCAAAGCCGTGAACCACGGGTTGGGGATCAAGAATAGATTTTGAATTGTCAAAATTTCAACCCCCCTTTTTTTTTTCAACCACGGGTTGGGGATCAAGAATAGATTTTGAATTGTCAAAATTTCAACCCCCCTTTTTTTTTTCAACCACGGGTTGGGGATCAAGAATAGATTTTGAATTGTCAAAATTTCAACCCCCCTTTTTTTTTTTTCAATATTTTGATTTTTTTTCTTTTTCTTTGTGATTATGAACGGTTTTGTGGTGCCTGGCTATACTCGAGGGTAGAAGTTATTGGGTTGAGATGATTTTTTGACACTATTGTATTAGTTGTAATCACTGTTTTAAAAACTGGATCGGGACTCAGGGCCTTCTCCGAGTCGGGTCACTCTTTTTAATTGTTTCAAGTTTAAAATATAACAAACACACCCTTGATTCATACGAATCAATCCCTAAAGGTTTCAAATCAAGCAAACACACCCTCTGGCCAAATGCAAATCGGCAATGACCTCCCCTTTTTCGGCGACCTTCCACCTTCCCTTACTGTCGAAAACCACCCTCTGAGTTCTGACTTTCTCCGACATTGTCACGCTTCATCTTCAGCTATTGCGTGATGTTTCGTCGTCCACCTTTGCCACGTGATTTTTCTTTCATTTCCCGACGTCGATCGGCCTTCTCCGGCATCGACAGGGTTCCTCAGCCACTGATCTACCTTCTCTCAAGCTCCCTTGCCATCGTTCACGAAGATCCAGTCATCTCACCAAAAAAAGTCATTGCAACCATTGACTTCCACCATCAATCTGCCATTTTCCGGCGATGCCTCTACTTACTAGCTGCTGATTCGCCCTCCCCATCATCCGATCTACCCTTCCTGGTGTGTCGCCGTTGCTTTCCCAATTGATCGTCGATTTGCATTTGGCCAGGGTTGTGTTTGCTAGATTTCAAACCTATAAGGTCTTATGGTATTTATCAGGGGTGTTTTTGTTAGATTTTAAACCTGTCAAACCATCAGTTTAACTTACGGTCCAACCGGTTGGACCAGTTGAACCGTGACGCGGCCATCAGAGCGGGTTGCCCTCCGGTCCGGTTTTTAAAACAATGGTTGTAATCCATCTCTTATAGAGGTAAATTTTGTAATGCTTTACTTTTGAAGTTGTTATAGTGCATTATTCATTGCACATTTTAGGACTCATCGCTACATTTTTGTTCCTATTTTAAAAAACAGAATTCATAAAAATGTTACTAATCAATTTGGCTGCCAATTCTCATTTTTCCCGGTTGTGTTAATGCCTGTTCTTTCTTTAATACACACTCAAATACTCAATTATGTCTCTTTGATTTAATGCCTTTACATACACTCAATTTTATGCCTCTTTGGATTACAAACTGTGGGGGAAAATTTAATTGGGCCTTTAGCTAATTGACCATATCAGCCTCTAGTGGGATGAAACTTTATAAATTTCTATCTCGTTTCTCTTATGTTGCTTCTATCAAAGTCAGATATCTGTTCGAAGATTATGATATGTTGGTTCAAGCAATTGTGCTAAGCATTTCAGGTTTTGTTGGGCGAAAATGTAAGTCGGAATGCCCATCAGATGGCCGTCATTTTCCCAGTGGCAACTGGAGCTCATATTTGCCGGAATCTTGTTGATATCACTATCGTGGATTTAAATATGGTATCAGTGGAGTGTCCTAAGTAATCCTAATTCCAAGAACCAATTACATAAACAAACCTTGACTTATTAGATAGGTCATTCTTTATCAAGAAATGTCTCTTTCTACTATATCACTTTCAGAGTTTCAGTTTCATAAATTTTATACATCCCTACCTTTCACCATTTTGGCTTGTGTTTTACTTGCCCCTTCATCAATGTTTCGTCTTTTTTTTTTTTTATCTGTGTTTTAACTTTTATTATTTGTCCCTTGTTCTTGTCATGAACATCTCCATCTCAATCTTGGGGATAAGTTACTAGCTAAAAGGGAAATTCCAACTTTCTACTTGCTATCTTATTTTTTAGTAGTTTATTGATTTTATTTTTTATTTTTTGGGGGGAGGGGGGTTTTTAAATAACCCTCTTGGATCTCCACAAGATCAATATATATGTTAAATTATTTATAATAAATAAATAAAATGGGTGCAGAAAGAAGAATTTTGTTTATGTTCAATTCAAAGCAGAGACAACGATTTACAACTGTAAAACAGCGTGAAGTTTCTCTTCCAGTCCCAGACTGTCATACTGCTTAAATTTTGGAAGAATCCAGTTAACAACCACTCGTACATTGGCCGTTCCATATATTAAATTAGCCATTGATGTGTATTCAGATTGAGCCACCACGCATTCAGACAAAGAACACAAATATACAACCATAAACTGTGAATTAAACACGTGTCGGTTAAATTAAATAAGGAGAAATGAACTGGAATGGAATCCCTTAGTATTTCTCTCGTCTCGCCAGGTCCTATCATAGCGAGACAAATACAAAGTCATTTCTTATAATTTCCCAATTATATATGTACAGTACAGCGACAGCAGCAGCCTGAGGCTCTGAGAAACTGCAGATATTTATCTACAATTTTATTTTTAAGTAAAAATGTGGGCGCTATCAGTAGTTGGTTTGATTCTGGTTCTAGGAATTTGTAGTTGTAATGCTGTTATCGTTTATTTACGCAACGTAAGGGGAAGCCCAATAAAACAGTAAAGCGCGTGGGAAGAGAGAGCGTGTGGGGATTGAATTGAAAAGAGTAGGGGAGAGTTTGTACTAAGTAATTACGTCTGTCTCACTGTCCTTTGGGTTTAGCAAAACTCAGCTCAGCTCAGCTCTGCTGTTACTGTTACTTTCCTTGTTTCTTTTTTGACTTTGTCCATTACTATTATTATTATATCTGACCCCATTTCGACACCTCTTTTCTCATTGGCTTTCCCTTATGTTCTCCAGTCGGCAATATCTCTTCCTTCAACCTCTCAACAATCACGTGCTTCTCACGCCCCTTCTTTATCTGTCTTACACTATCCTAGAAATACCTATTCACATTACAATTATACAAAATAAAAATTTGCATAAATACTTGTGGAATTCGTATTAGTATTAATACTAATAGCCAAAGTATCGATTTCAGAAGTGATTGGTGGTGAGTGAGGCCGCCAGGGACTGTGTTTAGTTTGGATAATAATTGAGCGTGAAAATCACGTGGTAGTGAGAATGAGTTGGGATGAACATGTGTAAAGTAATTATAAAACAGCGTCAGCTGGTAATAGCACAGAGCTCAGCTGGCAGTGACACTGGCACTGGTCTGGTAACAACAATTACCCTTCAGTTTGGTCTTCCCCACCTCTTATCTCTATTCAATTCCACCAAAATACCTTCAGAGAGTAACTCTTCCATCAACATTTACATGGCCCCCATCATCATCTTCTCTCCCTCTATTATGTTAGAAACTATCATGACAAACAAAACAACAACCTTCTAATCAATACCTTTTTCTATTTTATTGCCACGCTGATCACAGAAACAAGAAAACAAAACCTATTAGATTTAATTATATTCATTCCAATGATATATAATAATCACCCAAAACTAAACTATATGATCAAGAGCATGTCTCTTCAAATCTTCAACTTCAAATATATGATTTAGAAACCTGTAAACAAGTCGATAAACACAATCATTGCAATCAAACACAAAAGTGAACTTCTTTTATTCTTCTTTCTGGTTTTCGTTTCATGGAGAAATCAAGGAATGATATATAAATATATATAAGCTACCTTCATCATGATGATACCAACAGTGTACATGCTTAGTAATCATGAAAACTCCAGGCTCCATAACAAATAAAAACGACGTCAAGATTTTGAACACAAAATCAGTTGGCTTTCTATATTTTCTTGATTTGAGTTGCCATCACCATAGAAAAAGGAAAAGAAAAATACCCGGAAACATTGAATAATTAATACCAAGTTTAGCTGCTCTTTCTGGGTTTGCTTTTTCTCCTAGCTCTGCTACTTCTTGGAGGCTGTCTTGATGGCTCTCTCTCGGAAGATTGACCCTCTCCTTTCTTCATACCTCCCGTGGAAGCCGATGATGTCTCTGCCTTGACCTGTTGTTTTTGTTCTTCTTCACTGTTTTTAACTTTTTTTGATCGACTCTCTGCCGGCGCTTGTGCTTCTGTTGCAACTTGTTCTTCAATATTAATCTCTTCACTTTCAATCTTTTCAACAATCTTTCGAGGTCTGCCTCTCTTTCTAGGAGTCTGAGGCTGTGGTTGCTGCTGGGTTTCATCTCCTGCTGATGAAGCTTCAGCTATTGCTACAGAAAGCTCTTTCGTTTTCCTTGTCTTCTTTTTACCCATCAATATCTTTCGTTCTCTATCAATAACTATCCACACAATAGCTTGATTATCTTATAACCCCCAACTCATAATCAGAAATCAAAACTTTTTACAACTTTTGATGTTCTACACCCCCTGGCCTCTCTACTGAATCCCTAAATCCATTCCACAAACACTCAGTTTATTTTTATTTTATTCTGATAGCACAACTCTCTTTGTCTCTCGCTCTCTCTCTCTCTAAGATCCTAAAGCAACTGGACCAATATCTTTGACTAATATCCCGATTCTGGAAACCAATTAATAGTCTACTGTGTGTGTGTTTGTAATAAGCGTGTGTGTGTGTGTGTGTGTATGCTCTTCTTACTCAATATGACCCAATAAAAAAACCAAGAAGGACCTCCTATATTTTGAATAGAATAAACAATGTTTAAAAGCTATAAGCCACTAATATTATCTTTCTTTTTCTTTGTATATTATCCCTTTCTCTTTTGCTGCAGAAGAATAGACAAGGTGGAGAAAAAATGAGGTCCAAAGCCAGCGTGCACAGAAATAATAAGCCCAACTCTAACCATGGTTAAGTTTTTTAGGGTTTGTACAGAGTACTGAATGGAATTGCTGTAAATGTGAATAGTGGGTGTTGTTCTTTTTACGTGTGTTAAGTATAAAGTTAAGTGTACTATGTGACTCAGACTCAAGTGTCTCAGTCGACTGCCCTCCCCACTTGTGTCTGGATCCTGGTCCAAGTAATCTAAGGACTACCTGCTCCATAGATTTACTTTTTAATATATAAATACTTATTGGATTTCTATAATTATCATGTTTTCACCTAAATGGTTACCCTTACCCTACGGTAGAGAAGCTTAAGAATTTAATATAAAATATACACCGGTTGAGTATTTGATCTCCACCACCAATCGATGATCGGATGTTCTAAAGCAGCTTTAATAGTTTTGTTTAATTAATTTGGGTGTGCATTTAAGCTATATGTATACACTGATATGGTGTTGGCAAAGGAGACTTTTACATGAACAGACAAAGACTTAAACGTGTGGACGACCTCTTTGTGTCCACATTCAAGTGCTAGAAGAATGGCTCGGTATGTGTTTGCTTGCTTTTGTTACTGTTCAATATTCCTACCCAAAATTTTTGCTGTGAAACGAAACATTAGAGGAAACTTGTGCAGGAGGTTTACCTTGTTCGTTCTATGTCATGTCCTTGGTGAAGAACATAAGGATATTGCTTATTTTTATTTCACATATAAAGTATATATCATGATCAAGTCAATTCATATTTTAGTAATATTATGATTTTAATACAGCGTTTCAATTGTCTACTTTTAAAACAAATAAAAGATCGTTTCTTAAAACCAGCAAAAATAAGTGTCATTGGTGGAACTGTAAATACAGTTTAATGCATGGTCAATTTATATGAAGTCACAGACAATTGTCAATGGTTTTAAACGCTGCAAAATTAGAACCACTAATGTCAATGAATTGTAAGTATAAATGAAGTGGATGAAGAGAATAAAAGAGTCACTATAAAATTAAATGATCACATTCGATAAATTTACTACACTAATTGAATAGATATTAATGTCTTCTTCGATTATCTAAATGAGCAACAAATCGTGTATACTTTAACCAAATGAGAAGTCATTTTTGCAATTAGACGGGAAGAGAAAAGAAATAATCCTAAGGATAATAATACGGAAATACAAAAAATCTTGTGTCATGAAGCTCTAAACATGCTTGACAAACTAAAAATATTCTGGCTTCAACAAAAAGGTATACATGCTAACGAGCTATTACGTTCTCGTAAGATAAAAGATATGATAACAACTTTAAAACATAAATCATTATCTTAAATAATTTTAAATAAATATTTTATTTCATTTTAAACTTTTAATTTTACATAACATATAATTTTTTTTTTGTAATATGCAGATAATTATTACTATGTAGAGACAACTCTCCTTAAGGCAGAAATTAGAAAAATTATAATTTATTACAATGGAAAGTTTATTTTTATTTATACCTATCCTAAATTAATATTAGAATTTTTTATGACTATATAAAATTTATTTTTATATAAAATATCACTAGATTTTACCGTATATTAATTTCTCAAATTAAGTTGATCAAAGGAGGCAGTTGAAGAAACGAGTGAGAATTACAGATGATAATGGATTAATATGTATATTTCGCCGAAAGTATTTTATTTTTATCAAAAAAGAAAATGTTTGACTGGTGGAAAAAGTTGAAGATATAATTAAAGTCAAATTCGAGACGTCTTGAGGCCGTAGCATCCATGCGTGACTTAAAGCCGGCGTTCATGATTGTCTTCGTAACCGTGGGTTCCATATTTGATTTGAAAATCACTGCTGGTAATTTAACGCATTCACACTATTAAATTGACAATGTCCAGATCAAACCAGCCAGAACAGATCATTTATTTGTAAACTAGAAATTGACATTAACTTGATTTTTGGATTTATTGTGTAGATGGTGTAGCTGTTTTCTTTACCCTAAATAAATAGATAGCTCTGAGAGAGATGCTTCATTATGTTCAGCTAAGTGATCAAATATAAAAACCTAAGCACTATATTTCGTATGTTTTACCTAATGTTTGTTTTCCGAGAAAATTCTATGACCATATAAGTATCTAGTTTGAATTATTTGACAATGATTCATATATGTGAAGAAAACTTTCTCATTCTCATTTATTAACATTAACTCTCCGGATTAATCCTTAAGATTCTTGAGTATATTATTCAAAAAAATTTAAATTTAAATCTTTACAACTTCTAATAAGGGATAATTACTTAAAACTTACCTGAAAAAGTATACTAAATTTGATGGGTAACGTTCATATAATTTCTACTTTTTCCGTATGAGAGATTTTGAATTAGAACTACTTGGAACTTGGGCCTCTTTATATCAGATTAGTAAAACTGGACTACTGTTGTTACAAAGGGGCTTTGAGATATCTAGAATCTATTGGAGTTGGTAGCATTTCTGGCTGATGAATGATGATCACCAGAAAAAAGAATCTTTAGAAAACAATGGATTTTGATGAAAGAAGGTGGTTTCTGACTGCCCACAGTTTAGTATATTTAATTGCTTCATATATTTCACGTTCTTTTGAAAATATAAAGCTACCAACTTCAATGGCAACGTACCCTTTGTTTTTTGTTTGGTTCTCATTATATATTCCTTATTATTACTTGATTAAGTAGTGCTGTTATCCGTTGATTTTCTTGTAAGAAACCTAAAGAAAAAGCTTTCCGCATCAAGCCATCAGGGCAACTTTTTTTAGTCAGACGTGTCTTAGTTAATTTATACTACTAATTTTAGAATCCTAAAATTAATAACCAAAGAGAATAGAACTCAAAATCTCTTGAGTAATATACCTAAGAGTCTCTATCGTCTCACCCTATCACACCAACACAACTCGCACACATGAAAAGATTTATTGTTATGCCTAAAAAATAAGGGCTGACATAAGCTTACATTAGTGAGCACCAATCGAAATTAAGAAAGACTTTGCGCCCTCTAGAATCTGTCATGTCACCCCAAGACAGAGAGAATACGGTTTTTACCAACTCAATAAGCTCAAATTTTGTCTATGAATGAATGTGATCAGCACACCCGTTCAAGCCTCATATAATTTAAGGATATTTCCTAAGTTATCAGCCAATGGGACGCAAGGAAAGATTTGCACAACACCTACCCATTTGTAGACTTATAATCATTGTTTTGAACTCAACGGCTATAAATAGAGGACTCTTCCAAATAAAATTGGGATTAGACTCTCTGAATTTAACAAAGCAAATAGCAAAGATAACCTACGGGAAAGAGACTGACTTAATATTTACTTAGAATAACAAGTTCCTATAATTTTGCTGGCTGCCAACAACCTCTTGTAAACTTGGCTAATCACTAAGAACACTCTTATAAAAGATAATGGTAGATGTAAGAATCGTTTTAAGAATTCGAACCACTATAAAAATTATCACTGTCTCATTTATTATTCAGTCTTTGCTATTTTTAACATTCAATCAATTGTTCACTTATAATTTATAAGACTCCCTTAACACTTTACACGTACGAAGCCGTTTGTATCCAAATTAGACATAAACATTTATTAACAGAAGATTGCTATTTAAGAAGCTAATAAACAATAAAGTATAACATTGAATAATGATAATAATATTATGATCAGCGAAATCGTTAACAAATATAAACATAATTTTAGTTTAGTTTAGTGATCCAGCACTTGATGACTTAACAAGAAATGTTTTACGTTTCTGGCAATTTATTTGATTGTGATTGAAAGAGTAGTGGGGGAAATTGCTGTGTTTGGCATACTAGTTCGAATCCTTTTTTTAATATTCCAAATAATCTAAACAGTAAGAATGAGTCTTTGACACGTCTTCTTCCTCCTTCACTCGTTCACCACCGAGCCAAACTTTCTTTCTCTCTTTTCCCAAATTAATCTTCTCTAAGATTTTTACTCTCTCTTTCCCCTGAATAAAAAATCTGTCCCGGCATTGTTGACAGCTCTCCTCCCCCTAAGTCAGAGCTCTTTCCCAAAATTGCAAGTTGAAACTCTAGACCACCACCACTCACCACCGTTATTCTCTCTTCCTCTTCCAACACCGTCCAATCCTGTACAAAACCCACACGTTTCGGGCTTCGACCACTACCAGCACGATCTGTCCACTACCACCACCATCGCCGGCTGTCCTTTTCCAACACCAGGTGAGACTTTGACGGTAAAGTTTATTTTGTTTCATGTCGGACTGCATCGTTTTTGAAAATACAGGGTTATTGATCTTAAACATAAACTTATTATCTTGATTCCATGAAGTGTGAACATCATTAATTAGGCAAACCATCAAATCCGGTTGGACTTTTCTCAAAAGGTCCTCTTCAATCTAGTATAAAAAGTAAAACATGGACCACCATCTCGCAAATGTTGACTGCTTCATCAACTGTTCTTTTCCCCCTTCTCACTAATTTACTTTTTCCCCTTCAAAAATCACACCTGCCCTGCCATTTTACAACCATTTGTCTTTGTCTTCTTCTTGCAACTTCCCAACTATTTCATATAAAATGTTACTGAAGCTGGCAACAGTGCCACCCCTTTTCCGCTATGCTCTGGATTCTGATTGATGTCGATTTTAATTTGGGAGAGTTTGCTACTATTTAAAGTGACAAGACTAAGACATAGTAGACTGGAATAATAATATGAAATTAAAGAACTAAATTGTAAATGATTGGTTTAATTATTCAGTTACCTTGGGTAAAAAAGTTGAGAAGAATTTAAGGTTTCTATTTTAGAAAAGTTTTCTATTTAACTTATAGGGATAATGTTAAACAGGTTGATTAATGAGACAAAGCATCACATTCTCAAAGCAGCACATCCTTCTGGTTTGTCTGCAAATAGAGGCTTTTTGGCTGTAGGTTAGTTTGATTACATCCTCAAAGTATCACATTATCCCTATTTAACTTATAGGGATAGTGTTAAACTGGCTGTTTTTGGTCTGGTGGTTGTGTTTGGAATTTGTGTTGATTGTGGTTTGGCTGTGTGGGCAGCATGTTGTTGGGTTGTATGTGATAGGTTCAGGGGCTTATTTATTTGTTGTAATAAGCTACCGTATGTTGTTTTTCGGGATTTGTCTAACTTATGTATTATTTGTTTTGCAGATTCGGTAATGTAATTTGATCGTAACAATGGATTATGATGCTATGAACAAATGTAGGTGTAATTCAGCCCACTGTCACAGGATTGATTATTACTTTTTACAGAGGAAAAGGCTTTGACGTTTTTTCGCGCTTGGAGTACACCGAGACCCTATTGGTCTACTTTGACCGTAGTATCTCTTGTACTTACCGCTTCAAGTAGTGTTGGATCAAACGAGGTAATAATTTCTCTCTATTTAGTTTATAATGTTTTAAGTTGCATATGTTCGTGTTGAGCTGTGTGCTGATTGTTAGAATGTTTGAATCCTGGTTGTTGTTCCCACCCTACTGTTATTAGATGAGTAAGCCTGTTCAATGGACCCTTTACCTCACCCATCACTTTTTAGTTCTGGTGGCTAAGTATGCGAAAACAGCTCATGGTACTGCAATTAAATCTTCTGATTACCAGATTATTAGTGAAAAGTTAGTTGATGTAATTCAGCCCACCGTCGTAGGATTGATTATTATTTTGACAAAGGAAAAGGTTTCGACGTTTTTTTGCACTTAGAGTACTCTGAGGACGCTATTGGTATACTTTAATCATGGTACCCCCTATACTTTCTACTTCAAGTAGTGTTGGATCAAACGAGGTAATAATTTCTCTTTTTTTAGTTTATAATGTTTTAAGTTGCATATGCTCATGTTGATATGTGTGTTGATTGTTACAATGTTTGAATCCTAGTTGTTGTTCCCAGCCTACTGTTATTAGATAAGTGAGTCTGTTCAATGGACCCTTGACCTCACCCATCACTTTTTAGTTTTGTTGGTTGAGCGTGCGAAAACAACCCATGATGTTGCAATTAAATCTTCTTATTACAAGATTATTAGTGAAAAGTTAGTTGATGTAGCTAAGAAAAAACTTGAAGTTAGATAATTATCTTCCAAGTATTTTCGGTTGAGATCGACATATTACTCTTGATGTGCGCTACTTCAACATACGGGGTTCGGTTGGGATCATCAGTCGCAAACTCCAACATGTCCTGAAGAGATTTTGGAAGAATATGTAAAGGTAAACAACAATTTTTTTTTTTTTTCAATTCTTATAACATAGTAGTTGGTATGCATTTTTTTTTTTGGAGAATATGAATTAACGTATGTCTGTTTTCATTAACAGCAAATCCCAGGGGCACAACACTTCCTACATATGGGACTTGTTGACAAAGAGTTATATGAGGTCATATTCAAGAAGCAAAATGCAATTAGCAGATTCGCTTACTCATATGCGTCTCAACCTGCAGTATCTAACATGATTTTTCTCGATCCTGTCGAGACGGACATGGATCAAGATGACTTCGAACCTGATCTAGATAGATCAACTGGGGAAAAACAATCTAACAGGTTTGGATCTAGCTGATCCGTAAATAGGAAGAGGAGATATGTTTGGGAAAACCTACTAGTAGGTGTGATTGGTTAGTTGGCAGAAACTATTTCTAATAAGACTATGAGATTTGCGGCATCATACATTAATTCATATTCTCCAAAAAAATGCATACCAACTACTGTGTTATAAGAATTGAAAAGAAAAAAAAAATGTTGTTTACCTTTACATGTTCTTCCCAAATCTCTTCAAGACATGTTGGAGTTTGTGATTGATGATCCTAGTCAAATCCCGTATGTTGAAGTAGCGCATGTCAAGAGTAATATGTCGATCTCAATCGAAAATGCTTAAAAGATAATTGTCTGACTTCAAGTTTCTTCTTAGTTATATCAACTAACTTTTCACTAATAATCTTATAATCAGAAGATTTATTTGCAGTACCATGAGCTGTTTTTGCACACTTAGTCAACAGAACTAAAAAGTGATGGGTGAGGTCAGGGGTCTATTGAACAGACTCACTCATCTAATAACAGTAGTGTAGGAACAACAGCCAAGATTCAAACATTCTAACAATCAGCACACAAATCAACAAGAACATATGCAACTTAAAACATTATAAACTAATCAAAGAGAAATTATTACCTCGTTTGATTTAGTTCTAGATAATTTTGATTCAAGTTTCCCACATCCTCTTCCAAGTATAACTAGCTTCTTTACGTTTTCTAGCTAAATTGTAAATATATTTTTAAGATTTTGCAAAGAACATTTAGTATGTTATTATGGGAAAATATTATTTAATAAATGCGGGTTATGCGAACAAAGGTGGGTTCCTTGCCCCACATAGACAAGTTCCTTACCATGTTCCCAATGCGCGTGGTAATCTTTTTAGACCCTTAGAGTTGTTTAATTACAAACATGCATCGCTTCAGAATATTGTAAAGAGAATTGTTGGTGTTTTTAAAAAAAGGTTTCGTATTCTTGATAGCATGAAAAATTACCCGTTGTAGAAGAAGCAAGCTAAAATTGCTATGGCATATTGTGTAATTCACAATTTTATCAGAAGATTTGATATGCAAGACCCCTATCTTTGAAAAGTTTAATGCTGATAGAGTTTATGAGGAAGGGAATGGGGTGGGTTCAAATCAATTGCATCAGCGTAATACATATAACATGGGAACTCTGAGGGATAGCATAAGTAATGCTATGTGGGCACAACATGAATCTATTTTAATGCAATATAGGTGTACGAAGGTTTCTAAAGAATGATTATTTGTAACTTCGTATTATTAATTTAGATATGTATAAATGCCATGTTTTTAAAATGATCTATTAGTAGTCGAAATTATTATGGAGAATTGGTTTTTAATTTAGTGATAAAAAATTATCAAACAATTAATTAATATATTTAAATGTAAAGTGAAAAGTGAAAAGTCCCAAATCAAATAAAAAAAATTAATAAAATGTACCAAAATATTCTATCTAAAAATCTTTTTTGAAAAAATATATCAAACAATTATTCAAATTTATTTAATTCTAATATAATATTTAAATAATGTATCAAACATATTTTCAAATTTAAATTCTATTATATTAAATATAACTCAAATTTGATTTTTTTTAAATATTATTTTAAAAAGTGCATAAATAATATATCAAACGGACCTCTTGAGGTCCAGTGGGCTTGATGAGCCCAAAAAAAAAAAAAAAAAGAGAGAGACAACGGTCATGCAAATTGAGCCGTTAATTTCACTCAAAAGGTTTGAAGATGAATATCCCTTTCAAAGAGGCAGCAGCCTCGTGATTGTAAATTCGTGGTTCGTAATCGGATAAGATCATCATATGATATGAACAAAGTCAGGGGCCCATTTCCTCCATACACACGTCTTTATAATTTCACAGATTAAATACCATGAATGTCACATCACTGTATTTCATATTCTTGGAGATTTTCAGATTACGTCTACCTCCACATCTAATGCAAAATAAGAGTAAATGACATATTCCCACCCAAAGTTTGACGAAATCCGAGTTAGTACTCCAGGTTACATTTATTCTAGATTCTTACCATTCAAGTGATAAAAAAATGTTTGATGTGACTGTAAAGAGGTAAATTGATCATTTTACATGGGTGGTGCACGTTAGCAGACCGTCACCTCTAACAGTCATTTGGCGCACGTTGTCTCTGACGTTTTTCACCATTTTTCTGACGATTCTTCCACCCAAAATCACCCTTGTCACCACCATTTAAACCCCTATCCTCCCCCTCTCATCACTCGCCGATCGTCGGGCATGACAGCAATTACAGGCGGCTGATTTTTGCCGGTTTCCAACTATTTTGAACGGCGAAAACCCTAACCACCACCACCATTTGACTCCTCGCATCCTCCCCTACAAACCCCTAACCTTCCTAGGCACAGCAACTCACCGTTTTCCATCTACCACTTCACCAAAAAAGAGTCGATGAACATGAACTCTCGGTAGGCGAACGACGATGAAACGATTGCTGAGGACATAGGGGTTTTATATGTTTGGAGACAGTGGTTCCAGTGGTGGTGTCCAATTGGATTTTTGCTGTCGGAATCGATCAGAATCCAGCGAAGAACACCGAAATCCTAAGCCTAATGGCGTTGGCGATTAGAGGGGCCAATGAGTTAGGAACCAGAGGGGTTTTGGACGACGGACTATGAGGAAGGTGATGGAGGTGACCACAGGGTGGGTTCGATGCCACCGAAAATAGCCCAGATCGGGCTGTTTTCGATGAGGGTATGTAGTGACTAAGGGTGTTTTTGATATAATTTGAAAATAAAATGGTAAGTTTTATAATTCTACTAATTTAGAGGATAAAACATAATTTATTAATTTAAAGTTAAGAGCATTATAAACTTGTTAACACTAGGATAAGAATTTGGAGCAAACGTAACTGCTCAAACCTTGGGCGAGAATATGTCGTTTACTCTGCAAAACAATAATGAATTCATTCTAACATGGTTGGCCACGAATTTTGCTTGAAAGATCCAAAGCATTAAGCTTAAAGCTAGAAAGAGATTTGCGAAGTGACTTGTTGGAAGATTAATTTGGAGCTGATGAATGATTATACTAGTCCAAACCAAGGTTGTGGATGGAAGATTTTCTTAGTAAGTATAAGCCTTTTATGTTTTTGATTTTATTTTTCGTTTGTGGTTCTGTACTCTTCTAGATGAAGGGAGAGTTTTTATTTGTATGTATGACGTGGGTGTTACTTGTTTATAACCGGCTCTTTTGTCTGTAAGCGTTGCGTTTTTTACTATTTTCTTTCTAGGAGAAGAAAACATTGTTAAAGGTTTCATCTCGATGTTTTTCTTACTCCGAACGGAAAGAATGAAGATATAAAACTTTCGGTGGGTTTATTTCTCTTTTATATATTCAAATTAATTGGCTTTCTTGTAGTTGAACTTCTGTTCTTCCTTGATGGTTTCTGAAATTCTGAACTGAGGATTGATAATCTTGAACGAAGATTGTTTTTCAGCTCTATTTGTAAGTTTTAGCGGCATTTTTTGTTTATTTAAAGTAAATTTTGTGTAAAGAGGAACTGAATCATTACTTGACTCTGTTTTGGTCTTTGTTCTTCATCGTTTAGATAGAATCGCTCTGAAATCTGAGTCTTGAGCTATTAATGGGATAGATATTACAGAGTGTATATACTTTTTGTAACTTTTTTTGGTTAGATGGTAATCTTGGCTTTCATTTCTCTCTTCTGTTATGATTTTTTTTCCTTCTCTTTTCCTTATTTACAGGGTTTCTGTTCCTAAATATCAGTTTCCACTAATAGACTCAAGTAACTGACGACCTATTTTCTTTCTCTTCACCACTTGTAAGGATACGACTTGACCATTTGGGTCTCTGGGTTCTACTCTCTCTCTCTCTTGTTTCCTCTTCGTTTCTAGTTCTGTTAACCGTAAGAATAATTAATTAGTGACCTGTTATTGTTTGTTTGAAAAGCAAAACTTTGTTTGATTTTGAAACAGGTTTTCGTCGGTCCGCTGATTTTAGCAACTCGTATTGTATTTACCATGTCATCATGTCAATCAATATGCGAGGGTTTCAGTAAGGAATAAGCTCTCGAATCATGGAGAATCATTATGAAACACCAAGCAATGGTGAAGCAACTGATCCCAGCCTTCAAATTATTAAGTACTCTCCATATCAACTCTCTACCAAATTATCATCATCTTGGTTTGATTTGAGAGTTTTTTATGTGAGGGTCAGCAATTTTCAGGTTGATGATTTAACCCCAGAATTTCTCACTCTCAACCATATCCCTTTAGGCCCCGACACTGTTTTAGAAGTTAATGGCGGTAGAAGTAGCATTTACTCTGGTGGCGTCTCTTCACTTCTTAGAAGAGATAGGGTAGGCAAGAAGTCTGAAGAAGCCACATTTGTTAGCACAGATAGTATTCGGTTGTCCGGAAGTGTAAAATTTGAGGTCTTTGACAAGGAAGATCTCATTTTATCTGGGGTTCTTGAGATGTTTAATAGCAATGGCTTCATAGGGGAATCAAAAAGCAATGTCAAGCGTTGGAGCATGAATTGTGAATCTGAGATCACTGCTGACACTGGCTTTTTGAAGGGAAAACATGTCACAGGTCCTGAATCACCATTGCCCACCATTGAGGTTTATGTTACTGGTTGCTACTCGGGGACACCTATCATCTTAACCAAGACTTTGCAGCTCAGTTTTCGAAAGAAGCATAACAGGAAAGGCATGTTGGATGCAATCCCAGAGTATGAAACGACTGAAAGTGAGAAAAATCTATCAGCTGGACTTGATTTACAGGTAACATTAATTAAAACTTTTATATATAATGTTCTGTTTGTTCTTCTGACGAGAGATACAAGGGTATAGATAATACTTCAGTGCTGTGCTATAATAGCATGCATTCGGCACATTCATTAGAGATAAAATCAGCAACATATAGATATGTGATATTGTAATTAAAACTTTGGTAATGCAGAGGATTCCGTCTTTTTTTTATCCTTGTCTGTATGCTTCCTGTCTTGAAACATTATATGGGAAGAAGTCCCATTTGACACTGGTGCTTAGGCTGGAAAGTGGAATCTTATCCTAAATGTGACACAGTGGTATGGGCAGGGCACAATTTTCAATTGATGGGATACTACTCAGTTGTTCTTTTCATTTATGTAATTTTTTTTTTCAATATCCCTGTTCTGCCAAAACCTGACCTGCAGTCTTATACCCAAAGTCATATGGAGATTGGTCTCCATATGTGAGGCCCACTATGTGTTAAGCTTCTCCTGGGCATTATCATGTTGGCTTTTGTATCACTGAGAATGTTTTGAATGTGAATTAATCTATCTAGTTTCTTGCATTATGGATTCCCAAAGCTCGCATCAAGCCAATTATTGTTTATGAAATACATCCAACTTGAGGTCTTATTAATGACTATATTTGAACCTGCCTTGAAAACTACATGTATTGTATTGCTTTCTTTCTCATGTGCCTCACTGTATGCCATTTACTTCAATAGGAAATATGTGGCGCCTTTTTTCATTCAATGTGGGGAGATTAAATTTTGAGAGTTTTGCAGATGCTGCTGATGCATAATCACACGGAATTCTAGGTTTTCTTCATCTAAGCCTCTTTCATTTCCAGAGCCCCTTCAAACTGCTAATAATTCAATGAAGAACCTCCTGTCTGCCTCTTTTTTCCGTCTTCTGAACTAATTCGTCTTACAGATTTCTGCTGGCAATCCAGTTTCTATTCACAGCAGAATCTTCTATCTTATTTGGTAAATGCCATCCATAGGCTGCTTTACATGCAGTTTCTATTCAGCAGCATTTGTTCCTTAGTCAAGACTGTTCCTCTTTATTGACAACTTAAACTAAATGTGCTTAGCTAGAACTTCTGTAATGACACAATTTTAAATACCTCTCAGAGTCAACCAGCTGCCAAACCTCCTGAGTCCACCCTATAATTAGTCTAGGAATCTTGCTCTCTTCCAAATGTTTGATCGGTGCTGGCTTTAGGATTAATGGAAACGAAGATTTCAACCATTGATGTCTAGATCTCTCGCATTTCATTCATTGCTGGGTTTGACAACTTGTTGCCCCCAATTTTTCTGATTATAAAACATGCTTAGAAGACAATAAGCATTATAACACTTGTGGCTCTTCCCAATGCTTCAAATATCTAGAGATGATAAGCTTCATACCCAATCTTTTTGACTAATTCTGGATCATATATGCTGTTATAATCTTTTTCTTCATAATCAGGCTACCATTCCTATGATGTCTTTCTTTAAACTTATGTGGAACTTGAATCCGCAGGTAGCTGACTTCGGTAACTACAAATCAGAAAACGATGAAAACTACAGCAACATGTACTGGAGACGAACAGAATACATAGATGGTGAAGATGGTGAACTCTCGTGGTTCAATGCTGGTGTGAGGGTTGGAGTAGGGATCGGGCTAGGCATTTTTCTGGGCCTTGGTATAGGAGTGGGCTTGCTGGTTCGTACTTACCAAGCTACCACTGGGAACTTCAAAAGGCGGCTTTTGTGATCCCTTTCATCTGAGCTGCTATACTCTCCAGTTCCTTCCCACAAAATCCGAAGGCTGCTAACTGTATGCATCATTTTGACTACAGATTTTGACTGGGTGATGCCTTAGTGTAGCTAACGGGTCTGTTGTCCTTTTAGTGTTTTTGTCTCTGTTCAGACTTTTTGCAATCTTGTGTTTGGTTCTAGAGGAATGTGATTAGATTAAATGTGGCTACAGCCTACAGATGACATCATTTACGTTGATATGAAGGTTATACATATTTAAGCTTGTATGACTTGAATTCCCATGTAAATAAATCTAATTCTGTGAAGCTAAGGTTGCATTTGATTTTGTTGTAGTGGCAAAGGTCCATTCTTGTGAATATTTATAATCCGAATAAATGCTGTGCCAAATATAAATTTTCTAGATGATAATTATAATATGCATGGCTAATTTCGTTAACTTCAACAACAAAGTGCTGAAATCAATCAAGCGAGAACCATTATTATATGCTTTATTTCGTTGCACTAATTTTGCGTCTGGGTTAAAAGCGGACGGAAAAAGAGTAAAAGAGACAACATTTTCCCTCCTATCTCATAGAAGCAAGTGATCCTTTTTACCTATTGGAGAATCACTGAATCAGATAATTGATTTTCCTATTGTTCTCTGATTCACTAAGTCTATATGGTTCATTACATTGATGACAGCTCAGCTGGCAGATGGTGCAATGCAGACTGGCTCAGGCGCAACCTCAGCTCCAAAATGCCCCTTACTAACAAGTTGGAGTTTATCATCAAATCCCCACAAAGTTGCCGATTTTGCGTCATCTTGAACCATCATTTTGGAGAACTCTTCATGATCATAGTTGAATGTAGCTTTTCCTCCGAACTCAGTTGGCAGATTTTCCTCATCAAAATATGACCTCATGAGCTCAACGCTATCTTTATTCTTGGGATACACAAATTTCACCTTCTCAAATGTTTTTGCATCCAGAAAGTACTTGACAACCTGCCGACATGGAGGCACAACATGTTAATTTTGCTAAAACATCATTCTTCGAAAGCTGATGAATAAGTACAAATGAATCAACAAGGAATTGACAGAGATAACCAAGATTAAGAGAAACGTATTAAACGCCAATTGCCAGGAAAGTGATTACATTCAACCAACACAGAAATACCACTCGTTTCCTTATACATCTTCCCTCTCTCTCATTCTAACTAGTTACGAGATTTAGAACTGTTAAGGCGCATGTCTAGGCTTTAGAGTATGGTTCAAATTTTTTTCACGCATTAGCAAAAATTTAGTCATTACAAGTCTAAGATCATAATAATGCAGTAGAGAAAAGTTGAATCCAAACCTTCCAAAATGCTTCAAAAATGCGTGGGGGATTGTAAAGAAATGCTATGCCCAGCCTCTCAGGGTAGTGGTTTTGTAATATATGGATAGTTTCTCGAGCTGATTTGACAGGGACGCTGTTGCTTAGAGACCACCCAGTGAAGTCTATCAACCATGCCATTTGTTCTTGACCCTCTGGAAGGTTCAGTATAGCATTCTCTATGAGATATACTAGATGTCGCATCTGATTGTCTATTGCTGCTGTGTTCTGCAACAGCATTAGTAGCAAACAGTTTTAGGACTGTTAGAAGCTCAAAAAATGTGATGAAAACTACCAAAAGAACTTACTTGTAATCCTGGTTTCAATATAAGAACACTCCTGCCCTGCCGATCATGGAAAGTAGCTCTGAACAATTTTCCAGTCTCACCTTCAACAGCAACTTCACGCTGTTAACAAATCCTTTAAAATGATTAGCGAAAGATGGAACTTAACAACCTCAAAGAAGGAACTAATTATCATTATCATTTTCAGTGTTATTAGTTCAAGCAGGAAACTTCAAACCAACTAACCCAACGAATTTCCTCAGGTCCATAGGTTGATCTCCATTTGAGTGACTCTTCCAACATTTTCTTTGCTTTGTCCACATTCCAGTTCCGAGCTTCAAGATATCTCATGAAGCATGCATCAGTGCAGAACTGCAAGCTACGTCCAGATAATGGTCCAATTGCAACCTTAAGCTCCTTAACCTGCTTGTAGATATCTTTTTTTAAATTAAGGTCGTATTTGAAAATCAAATTACATAAGTTATAAATCTGTGAAGTACAATGCTATATTTACCAAGTGTAATTTACAAGTGATGGACTATGGTCCAGGATACTTCTTCCACAAATACCAACTTATGGTCTCATAAGAAACCTTTGCGTTAACATACCCGAAATAAAGGAATATAAAACATTGTTTGTTTAACTGGAGCATCAACTGAATACTAGAAACCCAAATAAATGATTATTGTGAACAACTGAAGCAGTCAAATCAATTGATTTATCACCTTTGACTCACGATGCAAGCTGTCATTCTCTGGCCGGTCCTGATGAGAATTACTCCAAAGGCGAAACATAGTGACTGATCCCACAATTTGGCAACTGAATCAACCTATAAGACTAAGAGTTGGTAAAGAAAACATGAATAATCTTCTCAATCACCGACTCAAAGACAGGATGGCTGCTTTTGATTAATGCGCATGCATACAACTCAAGACAAGGGGAAACCTATATACAAAAAAGCATAAATTATAATATCAAGAAACAAAAACTAATTCAAGTATCAAAGTGGGGACAAAGGCATGATCAAGAAACACAAAAAATATCAAAGTGAAAAAGTTGAAATTTTATGCTTGGTGGAAATTCAGCCCACCTAGATTAGGTAAGAATACTAGTAATCATAACAAATTCAGCTACAAGACTAGCAGGAACATGTATGTACTCAAAGAGAAGTATTAATGTACAAGCTACAGGTCAAACTCATTGACTACATTTGATTTGCAGCTTGCAATTAGTGGGCCACTTTCCTGGATGGATCTCCAGTAGGGTTAATCATGATTTCACATCATTGGATTTGTACCAGATCTATGAATTAATTTTTTTTTTTTTTAAATTATCAACAGCCCACAGAAGCAATTCCAATAATACGACAGTTGCATTTGTAGTCAATAGGATGCTCCAGACAGTATCATAAGAAAAAAATTGACAATATCAATAGATGAAGCATGATTCAACCAAACATCCACTAGCCCTTTCATTTTTCTTTTTGCAACAACGCAAGCTGATCCAATTGAATCCCATTAAAACAAGCAACTAACAGATTCAATTCTGTGTTCAAAACTGCAACTGCAAACTGATTGGAGATAACGTCTGTAGATTAATTCACTTGAAAAGAGAAAATTGAAGTTCAGTTCACATAGAAAACCGGAAATAAAACGATATCATTATAGCTAGTCTTTCAGATATCTTATTACAACGGGTCAACGGCCCCCAAAGAAAAAAGTATCCTATTGTCTCGGCTAATTAACAATCTAGACTAAACGAGATGGATGTTCCAATTTTTGTTATGAGAATTCCAGGAAACGAAAATATCCAAGATCAGAATATACAATCATGAAATTAACTCTCTTACAATCTCGAAACAGTCATATAATTTGAACAAACAAAAAAATGAAATGATAAACGAAACAATTAAAGAGAAAAAAATAAATAAACAAAAGGAGTGAAAGAAAAGCACAACTTACTCTGTACCGAATCTCCTCCTCTTCACCAGAAAGCCAGAGAGAGGTAGGGTTTCAACAAAAAACCATGAAAGTAAATAAGGAAAGAAGAACAAGAGGAAGGGAGTGAGAAGCAGCAGCTAAAAAATGCCTAAAATACAAAAGACTAATAAAGGAGTTGGCTTTTGTCGTTCGATTGGAGGATATTTTATTGTCGAGTCATTGTGACCCTGCTGAAAGGCCGTACGGTCACAGTGTAGAGCTGTGGGAGAGGACTAGAGGAGAGTGTTATGTTAGGGGCACTTCTTGTTTTGGTAACTCCCCGATTCCCCATCACAGAAGTTGGGTTTTAACGTGTAAAAGGAAAGCTCTACATTTACTTTTACTTTTTTACTGTGTACACGTGCGTTCTAGAACATGGATTCATTCATTGTGTTTAGCTTAGCTGTCCATAAGGATACGACACCAATCTAGATTTGATTTGATTTCTTTCTTCTTTTTATTTTAACTTTTTTTTAGTCCAAGAGGGTAAAGGTATGAAGAAATTGATTTTATGATATGATATTCTTTTTACTTTTTTATTTAAAGTGATAAACATATAGCGGTTTGTTCGGGGATCCGGTAGACTTTGAAAATTTTATTGTATTAGTTGAGAAATTGGTTGATGAAACAATAAATTTGATGTGACCTAGACAAAAAGTAGTGGAAGTGAGTATGTATGTTTATGCTGAAAATCAAAGCCAAAGGGACCAGAAGACTTTGAGACTAATATGCAAATGCAATGTGACATTCCCATTTCCCACTCATCATCCACTTTCTGTCTTGTCGCAAATGCAAGTCCAGAAAACACCCGAAACTAACCTACAAACGCTAATTTCCCCATTATTTATTCCAATAACATCTAATATTTATAATTGATTAACGACATTTCATATCAAAAGATATCACTTTTTTTTGGTAAAAACTTCGAGATGTTCTCTTATTAAAAGGTACGAGACTAATTCTCTACGGAAACTCCTTTCCAATAAGATTCAAATTCCTGATATTACAGGTAAAATTCATCCACTGCTAGCCTAATTACTACTTAAACCATGACTCATGGTTTAATGGAGACCACTTTACCCAAAGATAATTAAATGTCCAACCTTCCTTTTGCTCGTCCAATAAAAGAGAATGTGCGTGACGGTGGCATCATGACTTTAACAATGAATATTTAAGGGAGATATATAATTAATTACATCACTTTGTGCGCGAACCCCATTATTCATGTGGCTTTAGGAAGAAAAGTGGAGAAGCCAACAATAGGGAGAGCATAATATTCTATAATGGAGAAAATATAATAAGAGCGTGTACAGACTACTGTACATGTTGAAAGAATGAATAAAGCTTCAAACAGCTGTTTAAATAATATACGTGTAGTAATTTCACTTTAAGACATCGGATGTTTGTATATATCCAATCTGTAAAGAGATGATACCTGAGAAACTGTCAATTCTCTCTGACAACTCCCAGTCCCAATACACCTGAACACCTAAGGAAAAAAAACATAAGTGATGTGTAATTACTTAATTAGATCAGCTAATTATGTGTATTTCAACTAATCTTTGAAGTCGTGAAAATCTAACTCAATAACTCTCCATTGACCACCTTCTTAGCACCTAAAAGGATTCAAACAAAAAGTTCTAGGAACTCATTTGAATGGTTTTATCAATCCCATATCCTTAACACAAATCTCAAAAAAATGATAAAGGAAACTCCATGTTATCATTGTTGAAATCAAGACATACCAAATACAGAGATATTTCGATCAGCCAACCCGGTGACCTGACCGGGTCATTCCCTCGGGTGGGTTTTAAAACCCTGTTCCTAACTATTGTTTGGAGAAGCAAAAATATTTGACTAATAAAATTACATTTATGCTGTGGCATCTTAAGATTCTGATATCAGATAAAGTTGGGATTTCATGAGTATTGCTGCTTTTTGAAAGGAGGGGAGTTCAAATCTCGAGTAAAGACTATAAAAGGATCTAAATTCCATTATTAGGATGGTATCACATGTAAATTTCCTTCCATACAAAACATCTTTATTAGCTTTTCTTTAAAAAAAAACAAAAAAAACATTAAAAATATTTAAAGTGAATTACCCATTCTAGATTTAAAACAATCGTGATGTGTTGAACGATTGAGAACCTTCTTGAGAAGGAGGAATTATTTTTGTAGCCTATGGATAATACTTTATACTAGCAAAGGTTAAATAATGTGCAACGCACATATTCTAACTTATGTCCATCTACTACCCTAATACTTTTCAAAGTGACATTCATGCCCTTTTTTTTTAAATTCCAAGGAAGGTTACGGAATCTTGAACTTTTGCTATTGGAAGTAAGTTTTTGCACATAATATGCACAGGTGTTACTAAGTAAAATGTCTCCTGTCAACTTGAATTTGGAAATTATTTGGGTTCCATAATCTTTTAGAGAAAGTTGAACCAAATAATGAAGGCTTATTTTACGAGAACCCAATTCTTTTGCGTAGAGTGAGGCTATATATGTTACAAATTACAAAGTGATGTAATTTCTTTACCAAATTTTAATATTTATTACGCTTTGTTTTTTGTCCAGGACATGACAATAATAAGAATGATCTAACATATTGTGGATAAAATCCTAACAATAAGATTTGCTTACTACAATAACATTAGTAAATTTGCTTCGGAACCTGAGCTCTATGTCTCAAATTGAGTCTTCTATCTTTGCTGCACAGGTGTCTCTGCCAATTCATAGAGGAAAATAATCACAAGCATACACATTTAAGGGTATATTTTTCAAGATTACAACATATTATTTTAATTATTTAGGTTTGTTTAGAATAGTAATAATGGTAATTTCTTAATAAAATTTCGTCCCTAAAATAATTAAAATAAAATTTATAAATGAATAATAATTTATGTGAAAATTATTCTTGTTATGCCTCAAAAAGTCAAGCCTATGTCAGCACTATTAATGTCTCTCTGTACCAGCTGCCAAGCCCATATCTCCAAAGATATTCTCACCAACTTTATCTCATTTCAAAGAAATGAATGGACGAGAGCCTTCCATGTGTCAAGGCAGCTTGCAAAACACTCATTGCATTGAGTGTTTTGTGAATAAATGGATTTTTCTCTTCCCGAAGAAGAGAGGCTGGTGGCTGGGCTGAGATTTAGTTTCATTTTCATTCTCCCTGTAAAAACACTGTACTTTATCATTGTATGCCTTACGGGCAAATTCATAGAAGTAGTGAGAGATCAATAAAATAACAGTGGATGTAGGAGTCGCTCGTTGAGCATCCGAACCACTATAAAAACCCATTTTAGCAATCTTTTATTTATATTTTCTGCAAAATATATAATCTCAGCTCCATATTCAAATCTCATGGATCCATCACGTGTGTCTCCTGAGTCAGCTCAGCGTTTCCCACGTGCAAGTCGTTGGCGTCCAAAATCAAGCGTCAACAATTCTAAAATTTTATTACTTTTAAACGATTTATAAAAATAATAAGAAATAGGAATGGAATTATTTTAAGTTGATACGCGACGAGAAGGGTAAAATAGAAATTTAAATTTAAATTTAAGTAAAACGTAACACTAATAGTGGAATATTTTTAATACTTTCTAAAAAAAAAAAAAAAACCCTAAACTCCAAAAAAATATCAAAACATAACAATGTTCTTGTGTTATTTTAATTATTATGAAATTGAAACATTTAAGTTTATAATAGCATTGGTTGAAAATTGAGATCATCTTCGCTTATAGAGGTTTAATTGTTTTTGAAGACTTTAAATATATGTGTTCAAGGACTTATCTCATAACATATCATCTTGTCTATTTGTCTTCACTAAATGCCTGACTATTTTCGTTTAAATCCTGCTTACACAGGCAGCCAAAAACTATACTGAATTAGACGTTTGACTGCATTTTAAAAGTTGTTTAATTTAAAATATGTTCATTATTTTAATTTTCTCTTTGTCTGATTTGTGCAAACCTGGAGGTGATTTACCATGTTTCATTATGCCCTCTATTAATAATATGTTGTCAATGTGTATTCTAATTGTAGGATCTCCATTATTGGAGGAAAGGAGTTAGATTTGCATCAGCTGTTTGTGGAGGTTACTTCTCGTGGGGGTATTGTGAAGGTAAGTTAAAACAATTTTTAAGAAATTTTTCTAGTACTTATTCAATCATGATAGTTTAAGAAAATTGTGATCATGCTTTTATGAGTATTTTATATTACAGTCTGTCTTTGATGGTCCACGCAATATGATTGAACTTTATTTATTGGGCAATAAACTAGTCTATTGTAATTCTAAACAATTTACAAATTTGGGGTGATGATGGGAACAGTTATATTTTATCTTTCAACATTTTTTGGCCTATGATGGTTATTTGAACGTTTGATGGTTATTTTAATATTTTTTGGCCTAGTATTAAAGAATGATGGTTATTTGAACATTTGATGGTTATTTTGATATTCTCTGTTCAATTGATAGTTATTTTGATGGGATCAGTCGCAAATTTGCCTTGTTTTGTGGTTACTTTGATGTTATCTGTTGAATTGATGATTATTTTGATGGGATCAATAAAAAATCTTGCCTTATTTATTGGTTACTTTGATGTTCTCTATTCAATTGATAAATTATTAAAATGGTATATTTTTTCTGTGTATCATATCAGTCTAGCAAGTTTTCAAGTATAGAGTTGATGTTAGAAAGATGGAAACATCATGAAAGCAAAGAGATTAAAGTATTCTAGGAATTTACGGTTTTGGCAGCATAAATTATTTCCGAAACAACTTTTGGAAGTAGTTACTTAGAAGGGGAAAATATATTAAATATGTTGACAAAGTTCGGGTGTAATCATCGCTAGAAATCATTATAAAATTAAATATCCTAATCCATAAGGCAAAACTTCTTCACACTTTTGCTTCTCTATTAATTCCACGGTACTATTTTTTATTTTTACACAAAGTTTGTAAAAACCTACTTGGTATTGAATTCCCTATTCTTATTGGGTTTCAATTGACAGATATATATATGTGTGTGCAATTTAAAAGTTTGGATTCTTATTTATGCTAGTACTTTGTTTTATTTAAGTTAAATTGACAAAATTTAAATATAAATGACAATTCAGGGTTGCAGCAACTAAATGGTAATTCTACGGGTTTTAAACTTTTAAAAATCAAATGGTAACTTCATATTTTTGAAACATTATTTTTAATAAAAAACAAGTACAAATTGGTAATTTAATTTTCATATAAAGTTGAGAGCATACTAGTAATTTTATATTTAAAAAATAATTATTTTAGTAATTGACCCTATTGATATGACAAAAAATAATAAAATCAAATATGTAAAAGTATTTTCTGTCTTTTTAATCAAATATTAAAAGAAAACACTAAAAGCCAATAGAGGGTGGAAAAATGTTACTTTGAAACTTGATGGGTGGAAACACGTTTCGCCAACCCAGCGGTGAAAAAGTCGTTCTCCCTTAAATAAAATCCTAACAATATTGATTTGCTAACTACAAAAACATAGTACACTTGCTTCGGAACTTGAGCTCTCTGTCTCAAATTAAGTCTTCAATCTTTTGCTGCACAGGAGCACACACATTTAAGGGTATATTTTTCAAGATAACAACATATTATTTTAATTATTAAGGTTTTTTTAGAATAGTAATAATGGTAATTTCTTAATACAATTTCGTCCCTAAAATAAGGAAAATAAAATTTATAAATGAATAATAATCTATGTAAAAATTATTCTAAAATTTTAGTACTTTTAGATGATTTATACAAATAATATTAAATAGATATTTAAATTTAGATTTAGGTAAAACATAATAGTAGAATATTTGTAATACTTTCCAATAAGAAAAGGCGAGCTAAACACCAAAACTCCAAAAACGAATAGCTGACTGATATTTTTAATACTTTCCAATAGAAATTGGCCAATTTGCATTTGACAGACAAATACCATTACCAATTTAACCAATCACAAACTAATACATAGCAGTTGTGAAAATAAATAAGTAAAAAAGTTTGTACAAATAATATCTAAACTAAGAAGACCCAGGTGGAATCGAACCACCATCCTCCCAAACAAAGAGTTTGAGCGCTCTAGCCTATTTGAGCTTATGGGTCTACCCATACAATATTACCGTCCTACCGAAATAAAAGCAATGCCACATAAAATTATCGACCACATCATGAACCTAATCCTCTCCACATTTGGTCTCCAACAATAACCCCAAGTTGAATTCCACATTAAATTATTGCCTTAGATTACATAATTAGTTTATTAATCCGGGTGTTAAACCTGGGCTTTAGGTTAGTTATTGCGTTCCGTTCTTTTGAAACATTTCACAAAAATAATTTCCACCGTGAAATTTCACTGCTACTAAACGCTAAACTTCAAATAACTTTTTAAAAACACGTTAAAAAATTAATTACCTAGCAACTTCTACATCAAATACCATACTGACGTGAATAAAATTTTCTTTCGGGAAAAATGTTCAACATCAGGAAGATTTCTGCCTCATCAAAGTAAATAAGAAATAATTTTTAAACTCTTAATAAGGCAAACAAAAGAACAATTATTTAAACTGTCTTTCGTCATTGCGAATTCCGACGCTAGTATTTAATATTTTCATAAAACATATCTATCGTTCATTCAACCTCCAGTTGGGCAAATTATTCACCTGCAGAAAAACCTCAAAATTGCATTAGCTTGCCAACTAAGGATTTGCACACATCTTGCTCATCATAATATTTCAACAAAACTGGGTATTGCAACCTACATCTAATTGAAAACCCAACCATACTATAGAGAAATAACATAATTAGTTATACGCAAAAAACGTGACTACACAACCACATTTAAGCGGCGGAGTACAGACTAATAAAAAGCCCAAAAAATAAACAATTGAACAAGTTCGTAGACGAGATCTCCAGAATAACAAACAAATGGTTACCTCTACAAGCAAAAATATTAGGACATCAGATAGCCAAAACTCCGATAGACATCCCTTGCAGTTCCAGTTCATCACCAATGGAAATCCAACACTGCAATATACAACACACGGTAATAATAATAGAACAGGTATTATTTAAAAAAAAAAATCAAATTAACATAACATAATTATGCAAATAACTTTCGATAAAAACATCAGAACCGATCTGACTGGTTACACATGAAGCATCCGCCAATAAACACGAACGACTACTACGAACAAACGAAAGAGAAAACATTAAGTTCACCTTGCACTACTCTTGTCAGATCTTATGTAACAGATTAAATCAAAAGCAAAAAACAGTCGCCAGAGGTACATGTAAAAGGCAACCATCAGAAAGCACGCTGAAACCAGAAGGCAAGCTCTTAGTCGCCAGACATGATGAGACATGTCACAAGGTAGACCTTAAATGTCTCTCCGATCATAGCAGAACTGAACATTATGAGGCAGAACTGAACAAGCCAAAAACACCGTAAAATGCCTGCTGAAAGCGATGGAACCTTGTATGAGTGGATTACTAGTTTCTTCAACAGTTGCCGCGCAGTAGACCACGCCAGGAAGATGGTTCCATCAGTCGGTATCCAAAATCAGATATTCACATGCAAATATTTGGCATCATATTCCTGCAAGTAATGATAAATCATCAAACTTAATGCTGCTAAAATAAAAAACTCTCTAATTAGCATAATTTACAAATATTACCAGAAATTTACCTCATATAATAAAATAATTGACGCGTCCAAAAGCAGCTCCAAGACAAGACCTTGACAACCAACATAAGCAGAAATAATCTTTCCACCGCGGTGCTCCAGCTGGTATCATTCCACATCCAACAAAAGAGAATCTTCACAACGATAAAGTTCTCAGATGCTAGGTACAACAAGCTTCATCCCCTTACAATATGATACACAAATACAAGACCTTCAAGAGTACAACAGCTCCTAACCCCCACCAATTAATAGACATCAAAAATCATAAACTAAAATGGTCCAACAACGAATATCAGGACCAAATCACACAGAAGAAAATGGTATCGTTTTTTATCGCATCACACTAAAATCGCACATAACAAAAATAATTGATTTGACAATCTCATAACACCTTATAAACCCAAAAAACTGAATTACGAAACAGGTAATAATATAATTTATTTGCCCGTACCATGATTTATAGGTTCATTTACTCTCAATATACCCATGCTAATTTCACATATTTTCAGTTTATTAGATAAGAACTGAATGACAGCCTAAAAATTGTGTATGGCTATGCTATACTAGAACATAAAATTTGGCAAAGATCACAGTGAAGAGATCGCAGATTGATAAAATGTTAGCCACAATGTATATAAGATTTAGAATGATTATTAAAATATAAATCAGTATGATTACGTATAATAATTTAGACTGATTAGGAATGACAATTTAGACTGATTATGTATGATAATTTAGACTGATTAGGTATATAAGACAAGAAATGACGTGGCCGATAAACAGGGTTTTTCAAAGTGATAATCAACTTGAAAATATTCTTAAAAAGTGATTTCTTAGAGCCAGTAGACAGGTAAGTTCAAAATGATATAATTAAGACAAATGTTACTAATAGTCATTTTGCGTGATAAAGTGGTTGGTCATATATCCGATAAAAGATTGTGTTTAAAATAATATACGCAATATGGAAATAGACTTCTGATGAGCATTGTTAAAAGAGCCAATATGTAAATGTGTGCTGAGATAATTAAAAGTATTGTCATACTACATGCGATGCCTGTTACCATTCTTTATGTACTAAATGAGCCAAATAAGAGAAGACAAATTAAACTTATGTGTCAGTGGATTGTACCTTGGGATTGTTCCTTCGCGAAGAGTGCCCTGCACTGTGTGCTGATCAATTTCAAACTGTGTGGGGAAATCTATATTGCCTTTAGACTGTAAGTGGTTGCATGTTTGGCATAGAACCAAACAATTCAGTCAAGCAGCAAGAAACCAAAGAGGGAAACACAGGAAAAAAAAAGGCAAGAACACCAGCAAGGGGGAGAGCCGGGGATAAAAAAAATAAAACCCCCGTACCATCTCCCCCGAAAACAAAAATAATAATAATTTTATTAGGGTTTTTGACCTGCCATGCAAGCGCACCTGACATGGCAAAGGTCGATCACAACCACACAGCGTAAATTCATCTCTCACATCTTAACCTCACAAATCTTACCTCTCTTTTTTTTGCTCACTATCACATAATTTTTTCCATAACATTCTTTTCCAACGCCACAATTTTTTTCTTCCTCACAACACATAACTTCTTCAAAACCATAACAACGATAATAAAACAATACTGTGAATAAATTACCCAGCATAAGTCAACCTTTGTCTAGCTTACTATAATTCCTGCCAACTATTAACAGCTTCTATGATCTACCGCACCATAACGATCTCGATCCCGTCTCATAAGGCAGCTTCAGCAGATCTGATCTGATACGCACAGGTAGGGCAGACATAAAATCCGTCCATCCTTCGTCCAGATCCAAAGACCGTTTCCAGAAACAGCATAAGCCTGCACGTGTGAAAGTAGAACAATAAGTAAATCATTGAAAGATTAATAAATCGATCGAATATACAGACCTTTTAAAAAAAAAAAAAAAAACAGCTAAATCTTAATTTAAAATTATTGAATAGATATAAAGAGATTCTTGGACATACCTAGATCTACTCGATTGGAAACAAGACTGTCCATGGATCATGACCTCGCAAAAGCGGATCAAACGATCTATTCGTGGACATACCTTGATCTGCTCGATTGGAAGGCATGACCAAACGATAGATCATTTCACGATGTGTTCAGATCTATAAAGAAATTTGAGAGAAACAAAAGCAAAAGAAACAGATCTGATAATTAGCATGTCCTGAATAGAGAGAAGAGAGCCGACTGAAATGAGGTATCAGGGTTGTTGTGACTTATAGTACATGAAAACCGACTTAAATTGGAACCCTAGATGATCCAACGGCTTTTATGATTTGACGAGTTATATGGTGGACGGTTGGATTTGCGCGATATTAGTAGGTATCTGTCTGGCTGTCAGTAGCGTGTTGTAATTGACAAGGTATGGACGGCTATTATTTCGAGGAAGGTTCTCGATGAAAATGAATTTTTTTTTCTTTTTCAATTGGACGAAAAAATCAAAGCTAAACACCTTGTTTGGCAACTTGACCTTATGTAATCCATACACGTTTAACGCTACCACCTTGTTTGCCTACTTGGCCTTATGTAATCCATACACGTTTAAAGCTAACACCTTGTTTGCCTACTTGGCCTTATGTAATCCATACACGTTTAAGGTAGTGATAATGATAAGATAAAAATAGCATTAATATGAACCACAACGTTATGAAAAATTTTAGATACTAAAATCTAACAAATTTTTTTTTTTTTTTTTTATATATATATATTGAGGGATTAAATTATTATTTTGTTATTTTCCCGTCTAAAATAATATAGTACATGGTACTAACCCTATTTTAGTATTGTATACTTTTTCTTTTTTTTTTTTACTTTAATTTAATTATTGATAAAAATATTGTGAAAACCACCATAAATTTTTATGTTAAATAATTAAATGCTAATTGTGTTAAGTATCTCTAACAAACAAACCTAAGTTAAGCATATGAGTATATATATATTGTTAACTAATATAATATTAGAATTTATTTAAAATAATAAGTTTTTCTTAAACTGTGTATAAGTTTTAGGTAGCGTTTGCTTCCAAGTCACAAAAGATAATACCAATAATCTATCTTTTAATTCAGTAATTACTACGTTTTGGTATAAAGTAATCAAAGATTCCGGTAATCGATCAATATCAATAATAATTATTGTAGGTAATATAAGGGATAATTCGATTTTCATATGAAATGATGTTATTTTTTTATTATCGGGGAAATCAATTGTTCATACCAGTTTTACCCTTAATTAGTAAACATTTTAGTCACAAATGTCCTCATATGTCTACTAAATAACAATTAGCCAAAATGTGCGAACTGACTTCTTTAATCTCATATATTAATTTTTTGGATAGAAAGACCCTCACTATTTACATGGACAAAACCTAAAATACCCTTAGCCATCCAAGACAATTGCCGACTGTCGACCACTGGCAATAGTAGTCAGAACAACACACGACCGACCAGATTTAGCTGATTGTGTGCCAATCTAATCGTTTATGGCCAGATCGAAGGTTGGAAATGGCCAAATGGTCGTGGATCTGGCTGAAAATGATCAGATCCACAACGGCGAGATCTGTGGCCGTTTACAACCATGGATATGGTTGTTAATGGCCATAATGGATATGGCTTTCTAGCCAAATCGATGCACGATCGGCCAGATTTGGTTGGTTGTGCGTAGGGTGTTATCGAGTCGAGTCGAGCCAAGCCGAGTTTTCGGCTTAACGAGTTCAGCTTGTGAGAGGGGAAGAGTAAATGAGCCTAGACCGAGCCGAGCCAGAAATTATATGGCTTGGCTCGACTCGGTAATGGATTAGGCATATTTCGAGGCGGCTCGCGAGCCATCTCCAAATAATTTTGTTTTTTTTTTTAATTTTTTTTTACAAAAAATTCTCTGGGCAGCAGTCTGAGTCGTCTGACTGCCCACCTCCATTTTCTTTTGTTTAAATTATTTATTCTTTTATCAATAACAAATCAAAATAATTTTTTTAATATTATTTTCTTCATTTTTCAAAGGCAGAGGGCTGTTCAAATTCTGTTGGCTTGCGTTTCTTTGTTCTCCAATGTCTGAAATTCAAATAAATGCAAATCATAATTTAACTTTGTCTGGGCAGCATCCATCTCCAAATAAAATTGAAGAAACCCCAAACAAACAATTAAATCTCAATCGACCGATTAAAGTCCCCTACTGACCGATTAAAGTCCGACGACAATCCGACGAAGATGATGACGAACCAACGATATCCACTTCAGATCTGACGATGATGATGACGAACTGACGATATCCACTTTAGATCTGACGAAAATCCGATGAAGATGACAACGATGACGAAGATCCAACGGCTGCCGAAGGTCCGACAAAGATGAACAATATCCGGCGAAGCTGACGAAGATGAACAAGATCTGGCCGAAAATCAACACTTTGGGAGGAGTTTGATTCAAATTACACGGCAAGGGTTCACTGCTGATGGATTTTTCGTGATTTTGGGATTTTAATAACGGGGCCATTTTGTTATTTTTTAAAACTTGTTTGTATTATTTTCAATTAAATCCCAATGGTTTAGAAATTCTCAAAAAAACCCTCCACTTTTTCGAGCCAGGCGCGGCTCGCGAGCCTGACGAGCCAAGCCTTGTATGGCTCGAACTCAGCTCGTTTTGTCGGCTCGTAATCAGACGAACCGAGCCGTTAACAAGCCGGAGTCGAGTCGAGCCGAGCCGGCTCTCGAGCGGCTTGGTTCATTAACTAGCCCTAACTTGTGCATTGTCCCAATGATTGTCATCATCAGCCAACAGTCGTCCTAGGTGACTGGGTGCATTTTGTTAAATTTTAAACTTTTGTTGTTTGAGTATTAAGCTAAATTCTCAAATATAGAGGGTTAAAAATAATGTTCTAAATAATAATAATAATAGTAATAATAACATAATAATAATATTAACAAACAAAGACAATTCAGTATAAACTCCTTCGATAATATTTTATTCCTTTCAACCAAACATATTAATTACTTATACTCACCAATCTAACAAAACATATTAGTATAACATTCCCTCATTAATCTTCAAGATAATTTATCTTAATAGTAATCCTATTTTTTTAGTAATGAAAAATTTGCGCTACCTTAGTGTATTTACAAATTACGTGGTATCATTACCTATAATTTTTTGTTTTAATTTTCATACTCAAGACTTGACTTCATAAGTTGATAGTGAAATTTTGTACCATAAATTAATTTAATCAAACAAAATTTTACAAAATTTGTTGGTTAGGTCCTCGGGTTTCCCAAATGGGCGGTATATTAAAAAATACCCATCCGTTTACAATATACATTCAGTGAAACCTCTCGATAATAATCCTTTATATAGGAATAATCTATGTATAGTCATAAAAAATTGTAGTCCTTATTTAGGATAGTTATAAATAAAAATAAACTTCACATTATAATAAGTTATAATTTTTCTAATTCCCATTTTAAGAAAATTACCTCTACGAAATAATAATTATTTGTATAGTACAAAAAAATATAAGTTACGTTAAGGTTTAAGATGAAATAAAATATTTATCTAAAATTGTTTGGGACAAGGATTTATGTTTTAGAGCTATTACCGTATCTTTTAACTAACGGGTATAGTACGTAAAACTCACTAGCATGAATATCTTGTTGAAGCCAAAATATTTCTAGTTTCTCAAGCATATTCAAAGCTTATTGGGACGAAACTTTTTGTATTTTCGTAATATCATCCTTAGGATTATTTCTTCTTTCCCTTTTTTTTTTTTTTGTCTAATTGCAGTAATAACTACTAAAACAATGAATTGAAATCTTAATACATACTATTAAAACGTGAATTATAAAATAAGAAATCAAAATATAACTATATATCTATTAAGTTATAACCTCCTTATGATAATAAATTAGTTTGATCTCAACATTATGACACTAGAGAGATTTTACTGTATATATTTTTATAATCGGGTTATCCAAACCAGCTTGTGTAGATCTCAACTAATCATTAGAGTCATTGAATACCTTATATGTCCAATATACAAATAAATCACATACATACCTCAAATTTTTTATCATTTTGGACTTTATCACTAAAATCACACAACAAATCCACGGATTGCGTGGATTTTGATAAGAGAAATTAGTTGGGAGACTACAAAAAAAGAAAATTAGAGTTGGTTTAGATAAGATTTAGCTCGGGAAGTGCAAAAATCCCATTTGTTAATGTTGTTTTACGATCTTAATTACTGATGGTGCTGATAAACAACCTGAGCTTAACCAAACGAGGATTTGCTTGTTATCCATATTTTGATTGATTTGATTAGTTGATACTCACTCTCAACCCACTGTTTTTGTTTTCACCTGCGAGGTTGTGAGTTCAAAATCCAAAACACTGCAATCCCAACCCAGTTGTTTCATGCTGAGATTGCCCATGAAAATTTTTTAGTTGCTTCATAGTTTACCTTACTCATGTATGTGCGTGGAGACAAAAACTCTTTTAGTCCACACCCTAATTAATGCTATTCTTTACAGGCAATAAGTCCAACTCATTCCACCTACTCTCTTAAGTATTGGACACCTTTTTTCTCTTAATTTTTAACCAACCTTAGACCAAATTACCTTAATAAAAGTTATTCAAATTTTTGTTATTTTATCATTAGACCACCTAGTGGTGGTTACTGTTTGTAAATTCTCTTCTTTCTTTCTTGCATGTGCATTACCCATCTATATATCCGATCTGAACCATCATGGATATATAAAGAGAAGAAATGGAATGAGGAGATGTAGGAAATATGCTAGTAAAGAAGGCTTGAAGCGGAAGCTCTTTGAAACATCAGCAATTGCTTGGATTAGAATCAAAGTCAGGACAGTGGAAATGTAACAGAGACCCCCACTCGCAGATATAACTGACGTTCACGTCAATCTTCCCATGTCAATATTTCAAACATCATTTTATTATCGCGTTGGACTGGACTTCCCACCACACCCAACTTTGAAAGAACCTTCCCAACTAGAAAAGGAATTACAAACATTCTCATTCTCATCCTCTCTTCTCTGCACTAGCAATATTCCTAAAACAATGTAATTAAAACACATTATGCTATTTCTGGGTTAAGAAGAAGTGTTAGAGATAGGAACTGGGTTCCCGTTTCAGCTCCAAGCACGAGATGGCGAAGAGATCAGACTTTGCACAGAAGCTGTTAGATGATCTCCGGTTGAGAAAAGAACGACTGGCTGCCACTGAGAGTTCAAACCGAACAAATAACACAACAGTTGCAGGTAAGTAATTCTACAAATCTTTGCATTAGAAACCAAGAAGAGAATGCATTCATAGGACAACTTCATATTGAAGTTCCACGGATACAAGAATCTTAACTTAGCTTTTCTCAGGATCATGATTCTTGTTTCATGGCTTCAAGCAAACTAGAAAAGTAGCCGGTACCATTTGCCTTTTAGTACGCAGGTTAGAAGGATAGGTCGAAATTCAAAAGGGAAATTAATTCTTTTACATGTTGCATTCTTACTCTCAGTCTCTACTGTCGACATATATACGTAATAAAATACTGAGAAAAGCTACTCTTAACACAAATGGTAAAATGTTAGATTGTGTTTCAGTTTAATAACTAACAAAGTCGGAAGGTTCAGAGTAGTACTTTGTTCTGGAACTCTGCCTGAAAAAAAAAAAAAAAGAAGAAGAAAAACACCAGCAATAAAATCGGCTAGTTTTAGTCAAAGAAAATTAAGAGAGGAAAAGACTGCAAACGTGACTTTAATTATAATGTATTGGACTTTATTGACTGATGTACATCGACCAAGATAATTCTATGATTATTTTATAATGAAACTAATGAAAATTAGATGTTCAATCACAATAGAAATGTTTAATTAAGTGCAGCGTTTGTTCTGCTGTGTGTAACAGATGCATATTCGTATGCAAAGAAAAACTACCGAGGATCCAGGATTTCAAAACAACTGAAACTGTAAGTTTTCAAAGCTGAACTTTGTTTAATTGTTGATATATATATATATATAAGACTTAAATACAGGGAATTAACTTGTTAAGTTACAATTTATTGTTTCCAACAGATGGTTTAAGGCCTGGGACGCCGCAGAAAAGGTATAAGGAGGCAATAAATTCACCACTGGTGAAGCTTCTCAACAGGTTGTCCTTTTGGGAGAGGCCAAAGCACAGGAAAAATTGGAGATTTGTTAGCTTGGCTTTTGCCCTTGAGATGGAGGAAAACTCAGCATGATGGATTCGTCGGGCAATAATTCAATTCTGGCATTCCTGAATCAGATTGGGGGCGATCACTGGACTATGAGAAGATGGGAAGAAGAAATAGCATAGACAGGCATACTTCAACTAGCCACTTCCCTACCCTCTCTCATCTCCATCTCAAAGAGATATCAAGGGGGGCTCAAAAGTTAAATCAGATCCTTACAGCATGCTCTAATGGCCTGAAATTTGATAGATATTCAATGGAAATTGGAAATGAACTACTGAAGGGGCCAAAGATTTGGAAGAATCATTGCGGATGCTTATAAACCTGCAGGATGCTTCGGAGTACATGAGCACCCCACGAAGAAAAAGTCGGATCACTGTTGAGGAGGATGAAGATGAAGATGACAATGCTGTTAATTTGGCTGAGCAGAAGCAGCTGGCTCGGCCACAATTTTCATTCGACAAGCCCTCAAGAAACTATCATGGCACCCCAGATGTTGCAAGGAATGATCTCAAGCTGAGGTCGCAGCTCTTACTTACCCTTCGGAAGCTACTAATTTCATCTTTGAAAAACAATCAACACCTCACAGGCTATCAGTTAAGAGTAGCTCCAATGTCAAACTCCAGCTTCATTTTCAGAACAGAAAAAACTATTCAAGTTCTTCTCAATCCAAAATGGAAAAGGCGAGAATTCCAAATGTAATTGCAAAATTAATGGGGCTTGATGAACTTCCAGAAATGTAGAATCAAAGCACGCCATACAGAAAGACTCAAACCTCTTGAAGAAAACTGTGCAGGGAAGCACCAAGAAGGCCAAAAAGAGGACAGAAGATGCTGAGAATTGGTACACTTAACGTCAAGAAGAAAGATGATAAAACCCAACAACATTCCAGCAGTTCAGAACAGTGTTGCATCACAAGCAGAAATTGAACTGGCTGCCCGCAATGCTGGCTTTCAGGTGGTAATTCACGGTGGAAAGTCACCCTGGAAGGACTTTGAAGGTACAAAACCAGTGACAGGATTTGAAAAGGCCAGTATCAAAGTAGACAATCAGCAAGGCAATATCACCCATGAACCCTAAACATTGGAAACCAAAAGGATAATCGAAGAGCAAAGAGAACATAGAGGTGCAGAAAGAAAATGAAGAACCAGTTTTAAAGGATGAGCTGCAGCGGATGCCACCTCAAACACATAAAAGGTCAGAAGCGACAGTTATGTCGGAAGACAAAACAGGGTTGAAGGAAGGTGCGCTTCGAAGAGAAAGCGTTTACACAAACAAGCTTGTAGCGGGCACTCGGCAGAAGTCTCAAACCAATCTCGGATACCAACAACCACACATGCTTCGGAAATCAGAGCCTCTAGAAGAAAAACAGCAAGCAGAAGAGAGGGGACAACAGAGTGTAAAACAGAAGTTGCCAGCAAGGAAACAAAAGGGAAGTGAATCAATGTCCCCTGCTTTTTCAAAATCCATGCATGCTGAGATTAATTTGCAAAAGAAGCAGTCACATATAAATCATGCCGCAGTTAGTAAGAAAAATTTCACAGAAGCTCCTGATGCAATGCAATCAGAAAGGTTTTCAGATGGCAGACGTCAAGAAGATCTGGTCAGTAACAAGAGTTCTGCTAGCTTAAATGTCAACACAAGAGGCCCAGTGAGCGGGAACTCAAATCAGGATACATCTTCAAGAGAGCAAGAATCTAAACTAGCAAAATCGAAAGCTGCCGTTCCACCAATTATGGAAAAGAAACCTGTTCATGATCCAGGCACCTGGAACACTGAAAGCATTAAGGTGCATAGAAGAGAGACTCCTCGAATGATCAATGAAGTAATGGTCAGAAGAGGAGGTGCCCTACAGAACTCTGCCAGGGCACAGAAACGTAAAAATTCCATTTTGCAAGAAGTGAAACAGAGAAAGAATGAAAAACTCCGTGTCCCCAGAGAAGCAAATCAAACAAGGATTGGCAAGTCCAAAGAACCTGAAGTAAGCATCATTAAAACAAGAAAATTAGTTGCTAGCATAGAACCAACGGCTGTTGCACAACAACAGGAAAGAGAAGCTCAGGAGGCTCCCACTTTGCACAGTCCTACTGAGCATGGAAGCCAAAGCGCAAAAGAAACACAGACTCTAGTTCGGAATGACAGTGTCAGTCCATCTTTACACCAATTTTGAAGTTATTATTTTCGTATATCTCAAAATTCTAATTTGAGTTTCATGAGGAATATTTATTGTGTTAGGATTAGAAACCACATTCGAGGTAGAAAAGTAATTGCTTGTTTTGGGGGAGTCATATTGGTTTGGTGTGTTGTTACCTGCCATACTTAAATAGGATTTTATTTTCTCGCAGCTATTTCACATTTTGTTTTTTGGATGGATGATGTGCAGTGCCAGCAGACAGACTCTACGGTTATGAGTGATCAGCAAGGTGGAGAACCACTGCTTAATGGAGGTGTAGAACAGAAGTCTCACATTACTGAATCTAATCCACCAAATGGTAAGTACAACCTCGTAGTTCAGTTTCAAATGTGTTTCCCCACAAGACGACGTGTAGTGTATCTTTCCGGACGAAATGTCATCTCATGAAACAACAGAAACGACATTAGAAGTGTGGAATGGAAAAACGTTTGATAGTCAAAGCTCTTTGTTTTAATTTTGCAGGGAAGCATCAAGGCAGCACTGATATCGCTTATCCCTCACAATTGGTGTACCAGAAAAGTTCTAGAACAGAAACAGCAAGGCCACTAACAGAGGGTGAAAATCATCTGAAGCAGATACTGATTAAAAGCCAGATATTTCTTAACACTGCAGAGGCTCTCTTCAAACTCAACATTCCTTTTGACATTCTTGATGCCGGTGGCCCTGACTGTCAAGATGAGGACAGCAAGCTCATATTAGACTGCGGCTATGAAATAATGAAAAGAAAAGGAAGAACGCAAGAGCTAAGCGTTCATCCTTTTATTAAAGTATCAATCTCTGCAGTGAAGATAAGATCCTTGGACGACTTGGTTAGACAGTTAACTAAAGACTTTGAGAAGTTAAAATTCTACGGTGGGAATGTGAATAGTGAAGTCATTTTGGAAGAGTTTCTGCCTAAATTGCTTGAGAATGATGTCTATAACAAGGACCCAGATGTGAATTGTATGTGGGATTTGAGTTGGAACGAGATGATGTTTGCATTTATTGAAAAAGATGATGTTATAAGGGATGTGGAGAGATTTGTTCTCAGTGGACTCGTAGACGAGATTACCAGAGATCTTTTAATATTCCAAATTCCAGCGTTTTGATGTGAACTGATGGAAAAACAGGGGAAAATAATTTCGTTCTGCATTGCAGTTTGTAAAGTAAACTGAAAATTTTTATGGGTTATTTTTTTTTTCCATTTTCCCTAAGGTAATATTAAATTTGTGTATATGCCAGTTTGAATTTTGATCATTGTCCATATCAAATATGCAATATCTATGAGCATAATGTCACGGAACCCGTATTAGGGGAAATCTTGGACTTATAAGAGGACTCCCTCCATTTAATGATTAGCCCTTTGATGTGAAACTCCCCATTTGTAATAATGGTATCAGAGTAAACGCACTCCGTCTTTTGGTGTTCTGTCACAGACCCCACATTGAAAGCTATCAAAGTAAACGTGATCCGTCTTTCAGTGTTTCGTCACACTATCACGGACCCTATATTAAAAGCGCTTAGGACGGGAGTCCGGTAATAGCGAAACTAGTACTAAATGCCATTGCCTACATCAAAACGTGTTTAGAAAATATTGGGTTTATTATGTAAACTTATCTTCAATTTAACTAATGATTGAGGGCTATCTGGCAAAGAGACGGGAGACATTAAGTATGACTCAACACTTTACCAATAAAGTAATTAGATTTTTTTTATAAAAAAAAAAAAAGTGTAAAAAGCCTTTGTAACGGATATTTCTGAACAACACTTTAGATTTAGAAGTTGGATTTGAATTTGTTTTATTTGACATACATAAACGATGAAGAGTAATGTTATAGTCATCGGTAATAGTATATCGAATTTATGCACTAAATAACATGATAAAATTCTGACCATTTATTAATATTAAGTTAAAATTAATCAACGATCAAGATTTTATCACGTCATTCGATGCACTATCACCAGTGACTGTATCATTTTTTAATGATGAAACCACTAACATAAGCTGGTCAATAAAGGAGCTGTGATGAGGCCTTTGATAGAGTGGGTCTCCATAACATCTTATTTAAAAATGAAACTAAAGATCACGAGCTCAAAATTAAATTATTAACCCAAGGGTTGCTAGGGTGGTTAAAAAGGTTTACTCATTTCCTTGAGTTTGGGTTCAAACCTTTGATCCACTTAACACAACAATATTGTAGTTTATCTGATCCTTTAAACTTGTAAAGTGTTTAATAGATTCCGAAGATTAGTTGAGATGCGCGTAAACTAACCCGAATACCCTGATTACCCAAAGAAAAAAAAATATGGTCAATAACGGCAACCAAGAAGAAAGCTTAATTTTGAAGGTATCAATCAAAGTTTTCCTTCCCATTTGAATTGCTTGTGCGCCCATCATACCTAGCTTTATAAAGTTACTTCCCCTTTGTGCTTTTGCATTTTGTCACCTCAACCCTCAAGCCACCCGCAATATTCTATTCCATTTTATGCTTTACTTTCTATAACGTCTTTAAACTTTAAAGCTCTCTTCCCCTGTTGAAAATTTGACTCCATTTTCTTTCTTTATTATATAATATATATGTCATTTCTTAGTGGAGAAGAAAACCACCATGAATACTTGAAAGGAGGAGAATTATACGAATTCCCAGTAAACAGTAACGTTAACGATTGGCTCATCATGATTTATTCTATTCAAATACTTGAAAGGAGGAGAATTATACGTATTCCCAGTTCCCCACGTGACTAGGATCCTTCACTCAGGAGTTTCCACTTTCACGATGTAGTAGAATTTACCATATGTTTTTCTTCTTACAATTCTACCCTCCACTCCATAATCCCTCTCTTATTTATAGAACCTCACCTTCACGAAACAATATCCAAAACAGAGACTGCACTGCATTTATTCCATGGCCGCTGTTCGTTGCGCTGTACTTTTGGCCCTCCTTCTACTGAACGTAATAGAAACTGCATGTAAGTTGTTGTTCAGTCTTATGATTCGGAAAGAAAGCTTTGTTTTGAAATTTTGTTCCATTTTTTTTTTTAAATTCATAAATACTGTACGTACTGGCCTGAAAGATGAAATATCTTTTTAGTGGCTGAGAATTCTTACTCAATCATGAAACTCTTACTCTGTCCGTGCAGACTCAGAACCATTCATAGGTATAAACTATGGGCAAGTCGCGGACAATCTCCCGGAGCCATCAGCCACTGCAAAGCTAATACAAACCACTGCAATTGAGAAGGTCCGGTTGTTCGGGGCCGACCCAGCCATCATCAAAGCCTTTGCAAACACCGGTGTAGGAATTGTCATCGCAACTTCAAACGCTGACGTTCCAGCATTAGCTTCCGATCCTAATTTTGCTAAAACCTGGATCAACACGAATGTAGTTCCCTTCTATCCAGCCAGCAATATCATCGTCATAAATGTGGGTAACGAGGTTACTCTATCTGGTGACCAAAATCTGGTCGCTAAGCTTTTGCCAGCGATGCAGAACATCCAGAATGCCCTCAATTCTGTCTCTTTAGGTGGTAAAATTAAGGTTTCCACCGTTCATGCTATGACTTTGCTAGCACAATCTGAACCGCCCTCTTCAGGAGTCTTTGATGCAAAATATGTTGACGTTTTGAAAGGATTGCTCGCGTTTAATAATGCCACCGGTTCGCCTTTTGCAATTAATCCATACCCGTACTTCGCTTCCATGGGTGATACTAGACCTGAGACGAAACCTTTTTGTTTGTTTCAGCCCAATAAAGGGCGATTCGATTCAAACACCAAAATTAATTACATGAACATGTTTGATGCTCAGGTGAGTTAACGAGTTATGCTTTGCTCTTTGTTTTATATCCTTTTCTTAGCAAGAGTTTCTTATGTGCTCAAATTTAACTAAAAAATAACTCCATTAATTGTAGGTGGATGCAGTACGTTCTGCGTTGAATGCCCTGGGTTTTAAGAATGTTGAGATTGTGGTTGCTGAGACTGGATGGCCGTCCAAAGGAGATAGCAATGAACCAGAGGCAAATGTTGAGAATGCCAAGGCTTATAACGGTGGTTTGATTTCACATCTCCGATCCAAGGTGGGGACTCCATTGATGCCTGGGAAATCAGTGGATACTTATTTATTCGCAATGTACGATGAGAACTTGAAACCAGGGCCTCTTTCCGAGAAATCATTTGGACTGTTCAAGCCTGATCTCACCATGACTTATGACGTTGGCCTTGCAAAGGCTGGAGACCAGGTGAGAGTTTTTCCAAGACTAGTTTGAAGATAAATTAGTAGTGATAGCTAGCTATTAGTAAGCTTTTCTAACTTGGAACTTTTTTCAACAGAGCCCAGAGTCTCCATCAAATAACACCAACAATTCACCAATGTGGTGTGTGCCCAAGGATGGAACACCTGATGCCAAATTGCAGGAGAATCTTGATTTTGCTTGTGGACAAGGGATTGATTGTAAAGAGATTGGACCAGGTGGTGCTTGCTTTGAACCTAACACAGTAGCATCACATGCTGCATATGCCATGAATCTATTCTATCAAAAATCTCAAAAAAATCCATCCAGCTGTGACTTCTCACAAACAGCCACCCTTTCCTCAAAAAATCCAAGTTAAGTTTATGTTTATCTGTTTAAAGACATTTATAGACTAATGGTAAATAATGCTCAATTTCTGAAAGCTTTTCATATTGATTCGTTACATGATGCTTTCTTTCTGGTTGTTTGCAGGCTATGGTGGTTGTACTTATCCTCAGAGTTCCTAAAGACAGAGTACCTCTGTTCTGTTGATTGGTTGGCTGCGAGCAAATGTTTGTGTTTGTACTTTGTACATGTATTATATGGCATGTGATATAAGATTGACGGTGGAGTGTATGAGATGGATATAAACATGTATTTATTGGCATGTAATTTTAGTTTTTGGCTGGAATGGATGAGAGTGAGATTGGTTTGTTTAATGAATTTGTGCTTCAAATCTTCATTTATTTGTATATGTTTTGTTACTGGCATGAAGCCATTCCCATAAGTTGGACAATAGAGAAGATCAACGCAGAAGTAAGCTTAATTTTTAAGGTTTGAAAGCCTCCATTGAGGTCAGCTGATCAACTGCTGCGTGTGCACCAATTATACCCACCTTTCTAAAGCGAATTAACCTTCGTGCCTTTGCTCCTCAAAGCACAAGCATCCACAATCTTCGATAATTTCATGCTTTAATTAACTTCATTTGCTTTACTTTTACACCATCTTTAACTTTAAAGCTCTTTTCCTCACTTGAAAATGTATTCCCATATTCTGTAATGGATATGTCATGTCTTAGCAGAGAAGTTACCCACGGAACCTCCATCAACACAGGTGATATTTGTAAAACAGATAAACAGAAGCGTTAAGAATAATATTATGTGCACTAACTAAATTGCACTAATTCAAATATTAACAATTGAAATTTTGAAAGGAAAAAAAATTTAGTTTTTCGGGAGGAATTGACGTGGCAATAAGAGAAGTCTGTCACTTCAATTAGTACTTAGATTGTATGATTTTTAGTTAGTGCACATAGCATTATTAACAGATGTGAGTTTGTTGTAGAAACAAGAAAAAATAGAAAATCCAAGACTTGTTATAAACACTATCCTCAAGAATTATTTCGCCACAATAATTATTTCAAGATTGTGAAAATCTCCCAGGATTTAACAGGTGTTTCTGAAATAAATTGCAGGCACACAAAACAATATGAAATTTTAATTAACCCAAAGAAGAAGTACAAAGATGAAGGTTGATGACTTATGAAATTATGAAGAACAATAACTCTTTTTATAGTGTAAAATTATAACGTTATAATAATGTTGACATCAAGAAAATATAGGAGAAAAATAAGGTTTATGAACGTTATGATAATGTTACCTTCTAATGTTAACTCTAGCGGTTAATAAAACTTCTTGTTAAAGTTTGGGAATAATAGGTCAGTAGGATAAAAACAATAACAGTCCTCACAAATTCTTTTTGAAATACCAATACTAATTCAGCAGAGTTCTCATTACTCAAGCTGATACATGTTTCTATTATCAAATATGATTACAGATGACATTTAATTCTATACATTGCAAATTATACAAGAATCCTACAGAGGTTTTAGTCTTATGAAAAGCTTAGACATCGTTTATGATATTACCTTCTAATGTGTAGCCAAAACTTATGCGTACTTCAACATGAAATCTTTTATCCTGTACACAGGTCTGTATCCTATGTAAACACTATACATGGGTCATGGAATGACTCCAAGACTTTTACAATAGTAATATAATTACAAGCAGTGATGGTTGCCTGTTAGATGTTGTGAGAGATATAATTCATTTGAAGAAAGGCATTCGATAATCATTCAAATCCGTTGTCGTCCAGCGGTTAGGATATCTGGCTTTCACCCAGGAGACCCGGGTTCGATTCCCGGCAACGGAATTTCAATTCTTTTTCTTTCTAATTGTCAATTTTTCTTTCAAATTTTAATTTCTTATATATATAAGGGATGATATAGCTTTCTCTTCTATCACAACACTCCATTAATTTTATATACATAAGAGATGATAACAACACCAATTAAAAGCAATCAATTATATTTTACTACATAATATTGTATAAAAAATATTCTATGTGTAGTATTACTTAAAGATTATGTCACTTCATCTTTTACAACACTAATTTTCTGTATATGAGGGTTTGATATCATAATACTCAACTAATTTTATGTATAAGAGATGACATCACTTCAAGTTTATGTATAAAAGGCAATATCACTTCAACTTTAAGAGTATCTTCAATGATGTTCTTTATTTTAAAGAACATATAAATATAAATATGCAATATCTTTATTAATTTTTAATTATAAAGAATAGAATTTTTATTTAAATCCAATAGATTCTTTAAATTTTAATTTTTTCTCTTATTAAGTTTAAAAAAAAGGCTTAATAACAAAGATAATTAATATATAAAATGCATAAAACTTATAATTTATTAATTAAAATTAAGATAGAGAGTAAAATTTGATTTTTTAGATGTAAAGAGTCAAATTTACGCTTTAATTTATATTTAAACAATAAATAGTATATTAAACTTTTATTTTTATGAATAAATTATTTATATAAAGAATTTGAATCATAAAAAAAATAAATCTTAAAATGCTTTAATAATACTAATTTTCTATACGTGAGATGATGTGTCTTTAATTTTCTGTATAAGCGAAGATGCCTCCATTTTTGGCAACAGGATTATTAATCATTGTTGAAT